AGCCACCTAGGCGTCCCTCCAGCAATCTGTTTTAACAAGCCCTCCAGGTGATTCTGCTAACTCTGAACCATAAGGACGAAAGAACAAGAAGCAACACGGCAGGACAGAAGTGAGCACTGGCTCAGGAGCAGATCCCTGGCTTAACCCTGGGACGAATCTCTGGCATAAGACCTTGCACCAGCCTAACTCCTCAGGGCCTAGGCCTCCTGAGAAGCAACACAGGAGAACAGTAACACCCAGATCATTAAATACTTGTATTACGTGAGATTCTGTGTACAGAATTTGCATACAGTAGGTGCTTAATAATTTTAAGCTCTTTTCAGTTGTTTTCCTGTGTATTGCACAGGGCTGTAAACACACAATAAAATGACCAAGGATGGGATCCCTGGGTGGCGCAGTGGTTTGGCGCTTGCCTTTGGCCCAGCACGCGATCCTGGAGACCGGGGATCGAGTCCCACGTCGGGCTCCCGGTGCATGGAGCCTGCTTCTCCCTCTGCCTGTGTCTCTGCCTCTCTCTCTCTCTCTCTGTGTGTGTGTGTGACTATCATAAATAAATAAAGATTTTAAAAAAAATGACCAAGGCAAAAGGGCTTGGCAAATGGTCAAGTGCAAGGGCAATCTGAGGGATAACTGATTATTCCGGCAACAGTGGGGCTGCAGAACACCTAGCATTCCCCTGTACAGCACTGGGAAGCAGTTTATATCTAACACGATCCAATCCACAAGCACAAAGTCTGCAACAGAGTATCTGCTTCTTAGCCTTTATAAAAGCTGAACCATGCAGAGAAGAGATGGTCCTCCCTGCACCCACCTCACCCCCCACAGTATTCCCATCAGAATTAACTAGCTACTGGCTAAAATTTTGAAATGAGTCCACACTTTACTCTTGGAAAGAAGGATAATCCAAAAACGTTTTCCAGCCAATACAAGGAACTGTCACCACTTGCAGAGCACCCTGGACCTCACTTGGGGGAACTCCTGACATTCCAACCCCCCCCCCCCGCCCCGGTCACAGACAGGTTAGATGAAGACAGTAACCTTCTGAAATTTTTTTCAGAAGAGAAAACCCAGAAATAAAAATACAGACTTTTTCTTCTTCCACACTTCTTAGCCTCTCATCCTACTGCTCATTCTGCTCTAAATCATGCATTCTACTCGGGAACCACCTTTCAAAAGGACAGTGAGGATGGATACAAGAATACACAGCTAACTACATCAGACCATGGGCTTGGCTGCGTGTTCAACCAAACAGCCCAGGTTACAGTGTCCTCGTGAGGCCCCAAGCATGAGAGAGAATAGTAATTACCCTACCCCTTTCCAACCTGCGCCCAGCAGAATGGCTCCCACAAAGCAGGTGAGCAGAAGAGCCATTCTGCCAAGAATCAGAGACGGGAAAACACACCATCAACTTCACAAGCGCATCCATGCAGTGGGTTTCAAGAAGCATGCCAGGACACTTCAGACACTCAAAGAGATGCAGAAATATGCCAGGAAAGAGATGAGAACTCCAGGTCTACACACCGACACCAGGCTCAACAAAGCGGTCTGGGAAAAGGGAATAAGGAAAATCCTTAAAGAAAATGTAATGAAAAGGAAGATCCACCACACAAGCTCTGTATGATCGTTACTTTGGGACCTGACACCACTTTAAAAAATCTACAGTTAATGCGGATGAGAACCAACCAGACTGTCAAATAAAGATCTAAAACCACACACACACACACACACACACACACACACAAAATAATACTAATAACCAAGCCTTGAGACTACAACCCTCATTTTTTGCAGCTCTAGCACACCTTTGGTGAGCAGGGTAGCCCTACAGAAGACTCCTGAGAGCACCTTTTAAATATCTGTACCCCAGAGCCTGGCACCCACAGACACTCAAAACGTTGGGGGGATTGTTTAACTGCAAGCCCCATGCAGCTGTTGAGAGGTGTTATTTCACGAGTGGGTAAAATAAGGAGCAGAGAAACTAAAAGTTGGAGTCAGCTGAAGAATGTCATCTTTGATATCACATCCCCCTCCCCAAGAATAGGGCTTTATCCTGGGCCCACACCCAACCTGCCACTGTTCCCCAGTCACCTTTTCCACTCAGACTGGTGAACACAGATGTGCCCACGCCACCCTCCCTACCTCATGTACCTGTCCCCAGGCATGGGGCAACCTCTTCTCTGCCTGTGAATTCCCAGCCACCCTCGTGAGCAGCCCTTGGACTCCAGAAAGCCACTTCCATCTCCCCAGCTCTTCTGAATTCTTCTGGACTAAGTTCACTGACAATCCCCACTACTCAACTGAGCACTTAACTATGGAGTGGCCTTCAGTTAGTGATTATTCCAAGCATCTCTGCTCTCTCGACACCATAAATCCCTTGAGGACCAGGGCAGCTATGAAATGCCCACTCTCCCTTTTACCAGCTGAGCAGTGGCTTCACTCCTCTGAGGCTCAGTTTCCCCATCTCTAAAGTGGGAAGGACAACAAAACTTACTCCACAGAGCAGCTGTAAGAAGCAAGTAACACAGAACTGCTTTGTGCAAGCGATAGCTGCTGCTTCTACTCATCAGCCTTGTTTTATTTCTGTATCCCTTCCCTCCTGTCAACCACCTGGCAAGACTTTTAAAAGAATAGTAACAATACTAAATGCCACAAAAATCACTTTTACACTTTGTCACAACAGTACAGAATATACAGAACCTCCTTCTACATAGAACCTCCTTCTATCCTCTAATCATTCATCTGAACTGTGATGTCCGCTGGGTCTTGCCTGTTGACCAACTGTCAATAAGGAGGCTTCATTCTCTTCATGGTCAATGTCTTGTCTAAGGGATGATAAATGCTGGGGGCTGTTCCTTCACAGGTCACAGATGGGTCAGCTGCCCCACATATCCTTTCCAGACAGCACACTCAACCCTAACTTAACTATTCTGTTAACAATGACAGCTACAATTTAGTGAGCCCCTACTATGTCCCAGGCAACCATCATCCCACTTAATCTGTACTCCTCTGTGAGTATGAATCAATCTCTCCCTCTCAGCAAACTAAAGTTCAGAAGGGTCACACAATTTTCTAGGGTCACATGGCCCAAAAATGGGTAAGGCAAAACTCAACTCAGGCCTCCCTCACAGAAGCATCATGCTCTTTCTACTCACTACGTACCCCTATGTCCTTAATATTTGTGTATTTTTATTTTTTTTATTTTTTTAAATTTATTTATTTATTTATGATATTCACACACACACAGAGAGAGAGAGAGACAGAGACACAAGCAGAGGGAGAAGCAGGCTCCATGCACCGGGAGCCCGATATGGGATTCGATCCTGGGTCTCCAGGATCGCGCCCTGAGCCAAAGGCAGGTGCCAAACCGCTGCGCCACCCAGGGATCCCTATTTGTGTATTTTTAAATGTTCTTAACTTCTACCCCTCACCAGCTACCCTGGCATTTCCTATTGTAAAAGAGACAGAAAAGAAAATAAATCCCCCAAGTTTACCAGCTCCTTCCAATAACCGTTTGGGATTCAATACTCAACTGAGAAATGAGGTTTTGGGAAAGAAAGAGCACCTGAGGAAAGGACACGAGGAAGAAAATATAGATACACATGATAGTTCATAAAGGTGGGAAGACGTTCACCCAGGGCCCAGTGTCCATCATCTCTTATCAAAGACCTTACACCACAAAGAAAAGAAAGGCTCCCAAATGCCATTTAGCCAACAGGAGAGGCCTCAATCATTTCCCAGACCCCACTACAAGCTGACAAGTAAGCGGGAAAGTCGTAAGTAAAGCCGGATATAAACAAATCACTGCTGCCTAAACCAGCCAAGCCCAGAAGGACACCAAAGGTCTTCAGTCATAAAAAGACGTTTTACCAGTCCTTCGACCAACCAGGAGGAGCCCAGTTTTAAAAGAAACCAATCAACATTCTTGGGTAATTACTTGGAGAAAGATCCTACCTTGGATGAAAAGACAAGCTGCTTTTTTTTTTTAGTAAAGAAATCCCACACAGCATGGTCATTCTGGCGTTCATTCACCTAGCCTTGGGATTTCCTTACCCAGGATACCCGACATCTCTGGTGCTCTTTTCCAGGTGCCCAGAGCCCCCATATAGGATTAACAGACACTACTGAGTACCTCTCTTTACACTGTCACTGAAAGACTTCAGCTTTGGGCATATTTAATATAGGAGAGCAACAGCCAATGTGCGGAAACTATTATCAGATCTATCAAAACTTTAGAACTTGAAGGGACCTACCACACTTCACCTCCACACACACACAGGTCATTTGACAGACAGGGAAAACGTCAAACCCGAAAGAGCAGTGACTTGCACAAGGTCATACAGGGAGAGTCACTGGCAAAGCCCCTACTGGATCCCGGGCTTCCTGATTCCCAGTCCAGGGCTCTTATCGTTAAAACACACACAGCCTCCCTTCTCTCCCCGAGGCAGTGCAGGGATGCCATCCCCCTGCCAAAATAATCACCCTCGGGGAACCCTTCCCCCCATCCCAGTCCCTCCTACAGCCTAGCTGAGCTGCAGCTCTAATTAGCAAGTCTCAGAGCAGGGAGTATTCTCTGGGAGGGTGCCCGGCCTGAGGGCTGCTGGTACAGAGGAGACGGACAAGGATGGAGGGAGAAGGGTGCGGGAGCCCTGGGTCCTGGCGGCAGTGGCTGCGAGACCGTCAGCCTGGACGCGGACGCACTCGGTGGCATCCCCAGCAGGCGAGGAGGCAAGCCGACCCCAGCAGCCCGCACCCCCTCTCTGAGCCGGGAGAGGCTGCGCCCGAATCCGGGAGGGCCGCACGGAGCATCTCCGAGTCCACGCTGGCTTTTGGGGCGCCTCCCGGCAGGGTGACACGGGCGCCGCGAGCAGGGGCCCGACGGCAAGGATGCCCGGGCGGCCCGCGGGGTGGCACCGGTGCCCGGCAGAGGCCCGCGGTCCTCACCAGCCCCGTCAGCCGCCGCCGTCGCCCACCCAGATTGCCCATCCTTCGCGCGGCCTTACCGAGGCACTGCCCCACCGGGGTGCTGAACGGGTTCCCCAGGAGGAACTCCATCTTGAGCGGACAGCACGGCAGCGGCCCGGGCCCCCCCGTCAGCCGCCCGGGTCCCCACTGTCCCCTGGTCGCGCTCCCGACCTGACTGACACCTGCCCCCGCCCCACCCTCCGAACGCCGAACGTCCGGCCCCTGACCCCACCCCTTGTCGCGTCCCCATTGGGCAGCGTCTGTCTAGCCCTTCTCCGATTGGCCCTTACGCCTCCCTTGCGAAGCCCCGCCTACCCCGCGGCAGACGATTGGGCGGAGCGGCGAGCTAGGTCACAGGAATCTCCGTCAGGCGTAGCGGCGCCTCCAAAGGCCCGCCTCCGAACGAGAGTCTGAGTGTTGTGATTCATCTATATATTGGTCAATCTAGCGAATCCTTACCATTACTGGCCAGGAGACGAGTCAATCACTCAAGTGGGGGCGGGGGAGAGGCGGGACTACTGATATCCCTGCCCATAGACAGTGCTGATTGGAGAAACGTTTGTTTTTTCTACTGCGGGTTGGTCGTAAGAGTATTTCCCCGCCCAAGAAATACTGTCACGTGACCGTCCACTTTCACCCAGGATGTCTACTCTACGACTTCCCCTTAGCAACCGACTGGCCGAGCTTGGTTCCCTTAGTAACCGGGCGAAGCGTCGGCTTGCGTGGAAGCAGTCGGGTGGCCGGCGCTTGAGACGGTGAGACCTTGGAGCGGAGACTGCGGGAGGACTAGCAGGGGCGGACTTATTAGCTCTTTCCTCCGGGCTTTTTCTCTGGGAATCGACCCGGCCCTCCTCACCTGTAGATGAGCACACAGTTCTCTGCCAGCCGCTTCACGGCTGCGCCGGGACCCTGGGCTTTCGGGCTTTGGATGAGAAGGAAATAATAAGGACGCCCCCGGGCCTCCTTGCCTGGTCCCTTTTATCGAAACAGAGGTACCCGGTCCACTGATGAGCTCCTCACGTATTTAACCCTCAGATCCGACCTCTTGACTGTCATAAAATTGTTTCTGTTCTTTGTATTCTTCACCTGGTGCTCCATAAAGTATTTTGTTTTGGGATATAGCTACCCAAGTTCCATGCCTGTCTCTTCTCATTAGCTCATTGTACGACTTTGGACAATTTCCTTCCCCTCCCGGGCCTCAGTTTCTCTCTCTGGGAAATGGGGGAACTAACACCCCTTTCTCCAGTGACTTCTAGAGCCGACATGGAATTAAGTAATGAAATTGTACTTAGTACCCAGCAAGCACTCAGTAAGTCGTTGATTTTCTCTAAGTAATCCACTGCCAGCAGGGGCAATGTTTTTCCGATTCAGTTGATCACAAGTTCTTGTTTCACAGGGCTGTCCTGGTTTTGTTTCTCGGTGAGGAGGCTGCTCTGTTGGCAGTGGTGTAGAGCCCTCCACTGCTTTCCCCAACCGCTACCTCTGGGCTTCCCCAACACTGTTGTCAGGCAAGTCATCAGGAACCCAGGTTGGGTGGTAAATTATTGACAAAAAGTCCCTTAGGGGAGGAGCAGTGGGGCCTTGGCCCTGCCTGGGAGTAGCTGTGAGAAACCTCGTGGGTTGTGATAGTGAAAATCCACAGTGCCCTGCATACGGTTGTGTCATGGTTAAGAAAATGGGCTCTGGAATCACATCTCCCGTCTTCTGCCATATGCCGTATAGATGTATGAACTTGGTATCTTACTTAACCTTCCTAATCTCATCTGGAAACTGCCAGTGATTAGTCCTACATATTAAAATCCTCGAGATCTCTCACAGCCACATCTTACCACTACCCTGCTCATGACTCTTGCTGTTCTCAGTACGACAGCCAGAGTGAGCCTCTTAAAAGTGAAAACTGTTCACGTCACTGCCTTTATTAATTAAGCCCCAGGAGCTTCCCAGGAATCCGAAGATGTTAAGATCCTGCAGGCCCCTCCAGCCGTGCTTCACTGCAGCCCAAATGGAACATGGCTCGTGCACTCCACCTCAGGGCCCTGGCTGTGCCCTTCACTCTTCCATCTTTCCTACTCACCCTTCAGATCTCAGCCCTGTCTCCCCTTGCCAGGCCAGGCACCCCTCACATATGATGTCCCAGTTCCCTACATCTACAAACTTGTCATGGTTTGTAATTAAATATTTGTACAATGTTTTGATTCACGTCTGAAGCAGAAGGGAGGAGGTCTGTTTTACTCCCGACACGTAGTAGCTATTCATTACACGTGTGGGCTGAATAAATGATCTTAAACAAATGTAGGAGGGAGGACTTATCCATTTTTACAGACAGTAAATCAAGGGCTCAGACAGGTGAGGTTCGTTGTCAGAGGATGCCCACCCAGGCTCCAAATCCTACCCTCGTGTGCTTAACAAAGAGCATGCCTAACGACTCTTCCACATTGAATAGTGATTGTGGGCTTGACAGAAGCAAGCCTGATCTGTCCCAGGTGCCAGGCCCCGATGAAGTGGGAGTGATGAGAAGTCAGTTACAGTTTTGAAATCGGAATTAAGCATTTCCCAAAGCACTGCACTTTTCTTTGAGAAAACACAAACACTTCGCAGGTAACATCTGCCAAATACCGCACATTAAAATTTCCCCAAAGGCAAGTTGGTGTCAGGTTACGGGAAATCTTAGAGAAAAAAAGATTGTTTTAAAAGAGCGGGGAGATGGGGGGAGGGGGAGGACTGGAAACATCTTTGGGAGTTGACTCATTCGCTCTAAGAAGTTGGAGCCAATGTTGAGACTGGAGAGGGTGGGAGGATGGAGGGCCAAGGTGGGAAGGGCCGTGGCGGGGAGCACTTGGGGCCAGGAGCAGGGTCCAAGGAGACTGTATCTCCTCAGGGCAGAAGAAAGAGACTCACAACAGTTAAACGCACAAGGCCATTAGATCACAGACAGCCCAGAAATGGAAGATGCAGGTTTATATAAGCTGTGTCCAAGTGGATGGCGGGCAAGGAGGGCAGTGGCAGCCTCTAAGACCAGGTGGTAGGATTGCCAGGCCACCCCAGTTTGCAGTGGACACCATCAACCCAACACCAGCTGTCCCTCCAGTGGTGTTCAGTGGGATAATTCAGGGACTCCCCAGCATCAGGGAAGAGGCCTGGGTGGGGGACCAGGAGGGCAAAGGTAGATGGCGAAGCCAGTGGGGGGAGGGGGAGTGGTGGCAAGAAACAGGAGGAAAGAAGGAAGGGCTGAACCTGGGAGCTTCCAAAAGAGTGCGCCTTCCTGCAGGGTCCAGCCCTTCTGGATGCTATCACTCTTAGGCTGGTAATGATGAGAATGAGGTCAGGGGTGCTCAGGCTTCCCAGGGCTGTGGCTCTGTCCAGCCAGGAACAGCAGCCCAAGGTCAGCCTGTGGCTGACCAGCTCCACAGATCTCCCATTTGCCTGCAGAATCTCAGCCAGATCCCTTTGGCCCCTTAGCAGCAGAAACCTCCAGGGGTCGGTTTAAGTAAAATAGAGTTTAATGTGAGAAGCCAGGAAATGCTCACAGGGCCTGGAATTAGGGACATGAGCAGGGAAAGCCAGCAAAGACCATGTCAGTCTGTTGGCCCTTTTGTCTTATTTCTGGATCACCTCAGTTCCCATCTCTTTCTCTTCTCTGTCCATCTGCCTCATTGCCTCTTGTTCTCTCTGCTCAGCCACATGTCTGGATAGCCAGTGACCCCCGCAGTTCCTCCCTAGCACCCACAGCCAGCTCTGATGGGACCTCCAGCCTGCTGTCCCCAAGTCCACATTTCTCAGGGGGTGGGGAACAGGGATGGCAGTTTGGGCAAGTGTCCGCCAATCCGCCAATATCCACTCACTGAGAAGCTTGTGGTGAGATTAGGGAGTCTCCCAGAGAAGGGGAGCTGCAGGCTGCTACACCTGGCCGGGGCTGCCAAGGATCCTGGTGGGGTTGGTGGCAAGACACTGAATAAGGCTGGGTCAGGAAAGCCAGAGGCCAAAGATGACCAGGGCCACAAGGAGCACTGAGTTCCAGGGGATCCCTGGGTGGCTTAGCGGTTTAGCGCCTGCCTTTGGCCCAGGGCACGGTCCTGGAGTCCTGGGATCGAGTCCCGCGTCGGGCTCCCGACATGGAGCCTGCTTCTCCCTCCTCCTGTGTCTCTGCTTCTCTCTCTCTCTCTCTCATGAATAAATAAATAAATCTTAAAAAAAAAAAAAAGGAGCACTGAGTTCCAGGGGCCAAAGAGACCAGCGAGGACACGGGGGATGGAGGGGTGCACCAGATGGGCGCCAGGCAGGACAAGGGTAGCCTTGGTGCAAAAGTACTAGCCCCCAGGTGTAGTGCACCCAAGGAGTGGGAGGGGGCAGCTCCACAAATACCTTAAAGAGACCTCAGCCAGACTCTGTCCTCCGACAAAGGGAGAAGCAGAAGCAGACTGGGGAAGAGAAACATGGTGGGATTTTTTTTTTTTTTTTTTTTTTTTAGGGAAAATGCACCGGCTGTACAACTCACTGGAGCCAAGGGTGATGGATGAGGACATGCTCAAGCTGGCTGTGGGAGAACAAGGCCCTCGGGAGGAGGCTGGGCAGCTGGCCAGGCAGGAGGGCATCCTCTTCAAGGATGTCCTGTCGCTGCGGCTGGACTTCCAGAGTATGTATGTTGGGCTGGGATGGGGGCACCAGGCAGCACAGCAGCCCCACTCCTGGCCTCTCTGCCCCAGAACTCCACACAGGGCCCATGATCTCAGGACCAGCATCAGCATCTGGGCCTGCCTGGGTTAGAAGGCATAGGAAGGGGACACCCGGGTGGCTCAGTGATTGAGTGTCTGCCTTCAGCTCAGGGCATGATCCCAGGGTCCTGGGATCAAGTCCCACATCGGGCTCCCCAAAGGGAGCCTGCTTCTCTCTATGTCTCTGCCTCTCTATCTGTGTCTCTCACAAATAAATAAAATAAAAATATTTTTTAAAAAATAAAAGGTTTGGCACAGAGTGTTTTAATTTATTTTTATTTTATTTTTTAGAAGATTTTATTTATTCATGAGAGAGGCAGAGACACAGGTAGAGGAAGAAGCAGCCTCCCTGTGGGGAACTCAATGAGGGGCTCAATCCCAAGATGTTGGGATCACGATCTGAGCCAAAGGCAGACGCTCAACTACTGAGCCACTCCGGTGCCCTGCAAAGTGTTTTAAAGCTTAGTACTGCATATCATTAGCATTTGAATATCTACAACACACCTGATCCTGAATAATAGAAAAAGAGATACAGTTCCCCCCTCCAAATCTAAGTGAACCCAAAGGCCACGCTGTTTCCATCAGACTCCACGTGGATTCCTTGGCATGGGGTCCCTGGCAGGTGGAACCCAGGAGGGTGGCCCCATGCAGCTCAGAAGAAGCCATGGGGAGGAGGAGGATACGCACTGGGGCAGGAAGCAGGAGAGGTACGTCAGGAGCAGCAGGACAGCCTCGTGGGAATATATGGCCCAGGACCAGGCAGGTCCTTAGTGCCAGGTGTCCCCATCTGTAAAATGGGAAGATTGCAGTCCATGTCTCAAGTGTTGGTTGGAAGGAAAAAATGAGGCAACATGTGCGTAGTGCCTGGCTCATTCAAAAAGGCCAGTGAGTCAGGATGGAGGGGGTGCAAGAGGAAGCAAGAAGGGTGGGTAGGCCCCTGCAGAGTCACCTGGGCTGATGCGCAGTCCTGCTCTGTCCTGGGTTTCTACACTGGCCTGCTGGGTCATCCCGTAGACAAGGAGGAACAGCGGTCTGTATCAGACCATGGGGCATGGCAGTGGGCAAGGCAGAAATGGCCCTGGCCCAAGCCTCACAAAACCCACAGGCCTCCCCAGAGCACAGTCTCCATGGCCAAGCCGCCAGAGCAGGGAGGGACCCGGGGCCTCAGCCACCTCAGTGGTGGGAGGATTAAAGGAATTGCAGAATAGCTGTCACCAGCAGGGGCTTTCACCTCCTTTTGCTAAACCCCTCCCGCCTCTAAGGTTCATTTCACCGGTTTTTATCAAATGCCTATTATATGCTAGGTGCTGTTCTAGGCACTAGTGAACGGAAAGGACAAAAAACCCTGTCCTCCTGGAACTGATGTTCAGGTGATGGGAAAAATAAGGAAAATGATAGCATGTGCTGAAGGTGATATGTGCTGTGGAGGAAAATCAAGATCAAAGGGGTGAGAGTGGGCTTCCATGTTTTATTGGGTGGTCAGAGGCCTCATCAAGAAAGTGACAAGTGCCCACCAATCATAAAAAAAAAAAAAATAAAGTGACAAGTGAGCAAAGACTAGAAGGAAGTGAGCGAAAGGGCCACGTGGAGATCCAGGGAGAGCATTCCAGGCAGAGGGAGCCGCCAGTGCCAAGGCCCTGAGGCAGACAGTCCTGTATGGAGGCTGGTCAGAGAGGTGGTAGGGTCAGCTAGCATCAGCTGTGGGTCCAAGAGACAGTTTTTGGCTTTTATAGTGAGATGGGAACCCTTGGAGGGTACTGGGCAGAAGGACAGGATAGGATCTAGGTTTCCACAAGATCCCACTGGCTGTAGGAGGATAAGAGTGTGTGGCCCCAGGGCCAGAGCAGGGAGACTAGTGAGACAGTCACCACTATGGTCCAGGCAGCAATGACAATGGGCTGAGACCATGTCTATGTTGAAGAATAAATGGACTCTCTGGGCAGTCCTGTCCTGCTGGTAGCTCACTTACAGCTGTCAGATACATCCAGGTTTTTGTTGTGCTGTGTTGGCTTTTCCACTTGAACTGCTGATGCCTCAGGAAAAGCCAGCACATAGGTCTGCAAGGCAGAGCACCTAGAGTGAGGGAGCCACCCAAGTGAGTGGCATCTACAGGAAGTAAGCCATAGCCAAGAGCTGTCACTCTGAAACCAGGGCCAGAAAGCCTCCTGGAAAATCCAGACAGGGAAGGGAGCATAGGTGGAGACAGTAGCTGGTATCATTCTGGGAAATCTGGCCTCAGAGAGTTGGGAACAGACACCAGTCCCATGCGACCCTGGGAACCCAACAGAGGCAGGACCCTGGGTCAGACTAATGCTGTGCACCATTCCAAGACCTGGACCTGGCTTGAGGAGTGCGGGGAGGAAGGGTGTCTGACCTCAACACCCCATGGCAAATCCTGCTCTTCTGAATGAATATTGAAACTACTGCCCCAAATGTGTGGTTATTAAGAGTATTTTTTTAAAGATTTTATTTATTTATTCATGAGAGACACAGAGACATAGGCAAAGGGAAAAGCAGGCTCCCTGTGGGGAGCCCAATGCAGGACTTGATCCAGGGACTCCAGGATCACGACCTGAGCCGAAGGCAGATGCTCAACCACTGAGCCACCCAGGCACCCCTGTTCCAGTTTTTTTAATAACGATATTCTAATTTTATGAGTTTTAGAAATCATTACAGAAGCAAATATAGGAAAGGGGGACATATAAACAACAGGGATGTTACGGCTTCTAGAAAAAAATGGGGATAAATTTAGGCCTCTAAAATTTTACATACACAGTATATAGTCATTTATACTTAAGTATAGTTCAGAACTCCTCTGGCTGTCAGAAGCAGAAACCAAACTCAGCCTGGCAAAAGGAATGAGTTGGCTGTGTGCCTATGAAGTGGCCCTTAGGAATCACAGGTCAGGTGCTTCAGTGACACCAGGAACCTGCCTCTCTTTTGGATGGGTGATTTATCCCACTCCCCATATATGGACATTTGCCCCCCCCCCATTTTTCTACCTGTCATGTGCCTGTAGGTATTTCTTTGGGCAACATACACAAATGTGTCTTTACAGACTCTGAATAGAGAAATTTTTCAGAGTCAAAGGACATGGAAAGTAAATATTTCAGGAAAATTGGCCAAATTGCCCTCCAAATTGACTGACCTAGTTGATTGACACTAACAGCACACAAGGGGTGGGTGGTACAGGTGTGCACCCTGCAGACTTGGTTGTATTTGTCACACTAGAAGGAAGGGCACTATCTGTGACCTGTGTCTGGAGGTGTTACAGTCTCCTGGGCAGCCCCCGGGCTGCACAGAAGCAGCAGGACTGATTCCCATGCCCTGACAGATCCAGTCCACCTTCATAAGGACCCTGTGACACCTGTCCCCCCATAGACCTGTAATGTCCTGCTGTGGTCCCAGCCAGCAGCCCTGATCTCTGTCCTCTATGCATCAATAGAGAGACTCTTGGGTGTTTGGCCCACATCTCCAGGGCACGGTGGTGGAATTGTGGGGTCTTGTACATCGGCTGCCTGGATTCCCCAGTGCATTGGCATTAAACTCTACCCTAACCTGAGGCTGAAACCAGCCAAGGCACCTGCTCCAATTGTTTCAGACATCCTCCGCATAGACAGCCTCTGGGAGTTTGAGAACTTGACAAAGCTCCAGTTGGACAACAACATCATTGAGAAGATCGAGGGCCTGGAGCAACTTGTACACCTGGTCTGGCTGGGTAAGGGCCCTTCCTACATGTGTGTCCACCCTCATCCAAGGGGACACCTGGCCAAGGTTAATTGTCTCACAGGCAATTTTCTGCTGCCGGCTCAGCATCAGCCAGGGTGCAGCAGAATGTCCAATTGACTGGAGAAAAGAAAGCCGCTCTTTTTTTAAAAGCCTGGGGCCTTTGCTGGGCAGAGCCAGCAAAGATGTGCTCAGACACATCACCAGGTGAGAACATTCTGACCCACCTGCCAAACCTCCCCAGCTGGGAGAGGGTCAGGGAAGCAGCCTTGGACTCCTTCTAGTTACTCTAGACTCAGGTTGGCAGACAGCTGTAGGCCCTACCAGCAGTGGGGGGTGGGGGAAGAGGGGGAGGGCAGAGCAAACCAGAAACAATCATCACAGCTACTAGTGAGCTTGGAGCACCTGCTAAGCATAGGCCTTTATGCTTTCCGTGTGAGGCCTGTTAATCCATACAGCATCTCCAGTGTAGGGATGAGCAGAGAGACCACAGTGAGTAATGGGAGCATCAGGCTCCCAGCTGAGCCCAGTCTCCTAGAGCTCTGGCCCACGGCTCTGGCCTCACAGGGTTCTGATGAACAGGGAGAGAGGGCTGGCCAGAGAGCTCTTTACACTGTTGTCTGATTCGGCCCTCAGAGCAATTCTGACAGGTGAGTGTTACACTCCCAAAGTGCAGAAGACAAAATGAGACTCTGCAAGGCCAAGGCACTTACCCAAAAGCTCCAGCAGAGCAGGCGTGCAAGCCCATGTCTGCCTGACCCCAGAGCCCACACTCCCACTCATGAGCAGCCTGCAGCATTGGTGCACCTCCCAATTTGCCAAAATACTCTCAACTACGGTGGTCCTGACAGTCACCAGCCCACAGCAGCCGCATGGATGCTGGGAGGCTGACGGGCCTGATGGAGTCATAGGCTACAGGCAGCGGAGGTGGCCTACAGCCAGGTCTTCTGACAGCTAAATCCTTGTGGCACCCAGCACCCATTAATGCTGAATCTGGGTGTGACAGTGCACCTGCATTGCCAGGAGTCTGTCTTTATAGATGAAGGGAAATGGTACTGGATCAGCCCAGACCCTGAGCCATGATTCTTCTAGAAAGCCTTCTGGGTTCCAGCTATCTGAATGTCATGCTTTCGATGACAGCTACTAGGCCCCACTGTCTCTGATGTAAAGTGAGTGCCATAGCTCCTGTAATACCTAGGCTTCCGTGGGCATGAGAGTGGAGGGGAAATTTCTAGTAAAGAGGTCGGGTGATTCCCCTCAAAGAGTGAGAAGCTGGCCTTTGTCCAGCCATAGTCCCAGTCACCTAGGGACCCAATGACACCAGGAAGGTCTGGGTCCCTGAGGTGCAGGGGGGCAGGAGAGACAGTGCCCCAGGGTTCAGCCCAGCCCCCAGCTCATGCGAGGCCCTGCTGGTGGCCCACCATGTCAGCTGTCTGAGGGCTGAGGCTGTGCTGGAGCTAGCTAGCACTGGCTCTCCAAAGCTTATGATGCACATCTCATCCCAGCCGTGCATTCAGGGATGTCAGGCTGCTAGCTTGAAATTGGCCATGATGGGAGGATTTACACCACAGAAATGAGTGAGCACTGCAATTCATGGCCTCCCCGGCTTGGCCCACCAACCCCCTTGTTATACCTTTACCAGCACTCAGCCAGTTCCAGTGGGGCAGGGCCGGCCTTCCCAGAACAGAACTGGCTGCATGGTGGGAAGGGGAATGGGCAGCCTTGGCATATGGCAGACCCCGCTCAAAGCCCAGCTCTGGCCATGTACTGATTTTACACCCATTCCTACAGCCCTCTGAACCTCAGAGGGTTCTTTACGTGTCAGGTGATTTCGGGCATATACTACCAGGCCCCTTGAACCTTGGTTTCCTCATGCATCAAACGTAAACGATGAAACCCTTGTGGGAGTTAAATAAGGTGATGGACTTAAGAGAGAAAGGGATGGGAAGTTAGCATTAGTCTCAACTGTCAGCAGGTGAGCGTCCTCTGGTAGGCCGGGGGGGCTGAATTCAGATGTGGATAAATGGACTTCCCAAACCACTCTTTAAGATTTTATTTTTTATTCATGAGAGACACAGAGGCAGGCTCCCTGCAGGGAGCCCGATGTGGGACTCGATCCCTGGACCCCGGGATCATACCCTGAGCTGAAGGCAGATGCTCAACTGCTGAGCCACCCAGGTGTTCCCCAAACCACCGTTTAAATGTGATGGCATGCAGCTATCACGTGCAAATTTCAAAGCTTATGAAAAATTTCCAGTTTAGCCCTGTGGGTCATTGGTGTCCAGGATAGAGTTGCAGCTCCAGCCTCAACCGACCCCTAAACCCACAGTGGGGGACAAAGCAAATTTTGTTCCCCGGAATGTGAACCTCGGGCTAGAGAGGGCCTAGTGTCTCAGTGGGGATTCGGAGTTGGGGTTTTGGAGGCCCCCAGGTGAGCTGTTATGCAGCTGGAAGATCCTGGCCTGCTATGTGTCCAGGAAGGAGCCCTGGATGAACTCTGGCACCACTGTTAGCTGTGTGGCTTTGAGCAAATCACTGAGCCTGTCTGTGCATCAGTTTCCCTGTGACCAAATGGGAAGAGAAATTCCAGACTGCCACTCAGGGTTATTGTCGGAGGATATACTCATAAGCACCTGCTAACTGGTAAATGCTAAGCAGACAGGCAGTATTTTTTTTTTAAGATTTTATTAAATGGAGGAAGGAGTGAGGCAGAGGGAGAGAGAGTCTCCAGCAGACTCTGAGCCGAGCCTAGAGCCTGATGTGGTGCTCAATCCCACCACCCCAAGATCATGACCTAAGCCAAAAACAAGAGTCTGACGCTTAGCTGACTGAGCCACCCAGCACCCCAGGAGGTATTATTTAAATGCCCATAGGTCTGAGGGAAGGAGGCCCTCCAAACAGTCTCCTCCCACTCCAAGATGTACTGTTTTGGACCTGCCATTCAGCATTTCCATCCAAAACAACCACAGAGCACAAACATGAGTGTTTGCCCATCTGCGCCCAGCCAGGGAGACGAGTGGCAGAAACAGGAGGGGGCAGTCATAGTTGGAAACCATAGGAAAGAATTCATGCCCGGCTTCTAGAAAACCATAAGAAGTCAGACAGTGAGTCAGTTCCTGGCCTGTCAGCTTGCTGCTGTCTCCCAGAGCATGGTAGCCCACTGGGTTTGTTTCACGACGGTCCACCCTCCGGACCCTCATAGCCCTCTTCCTTCCAGACCTGTCTTTCAACAACATTGAGGCCATTGAGGGACTGGACACGCTGGTGAACCTGGAAGACCTAAGCTTGTTCAACAACCGGATCTCCAAGATTGACTCTCTGGATGCCCTCGTCAAGCTGCAGGTGTTGTCGCTGGGCAACAACCAGATCGGCAACATGATGAATGTGAGTTCTCGGGCACGGCTGGTGCCGGGGAGCAGAGTGGCCACTCCTGCTGGCCTCCTGACCTGGAGCAGAGGGTGGGGCCGGGCACTATAGGTCATCGGAGGAGCTGGGCTGTGGGAGGAGGGTCCGTGGCCAGGGGAAATGGAGACTCGGCCTTCCAGATCACCTCCTTCTCCTAGAAAAGCCAGCAATCCAGATTATTCCACAAAGAGATTAGATAGTGTTTAAACACTATGCTTCCCCTGTGCTTAGCCCACCAGTGGATTGCCAGGTCGTATGTCTGCCTCTTCCCCTGAGCCCCACACTCACATAACAGACACTTGCTGAGGTGAGAACCTAGTGGCTGTGGGGCACTTGGCCTGAGCTCAAAGGTACAGAGACAAACGGGGACTGGTCCCTTTGAGGGTGCTGACCACATACCCACAGAACCAAGATATGAGGTGACAGCCTGTGGCATTGGCATTGTGGGGGAAGGCAGGCTGCACATCCCGAGAGCAGGTGACCTGGGGCTGGGATGTCCTCTCCCCCTCTCTCCCACGGCTCTCAGAGACCTCTGGGTCCCCTGGCTGCTACTCTTTCTCATACCCCATCTATATATTTTCACCGCACTTACCCCCAGACCATCATGGTTTTACTGACTTTCTAGAACATTCCTGTTCCCTGGCCCTAGAATGTGAAGCCTTTTTTTATTATTATTATTTATTCATGAGAGACACACACACAGAGAGAGGCAGAGACACAGGCAGAGGGATAAGCAGGCTCCATACAGGGAGCCCAACGTGGGACTTGATCCTGGGTCTCCAGGATCATACCCTGGGCTGAAGGCAGCGCTAAACCGCTGAGCCACCCAGGCTGCCCCAAGAATGTGAAGCCTTGATGCAAGGGTAGGGACCATGTGAACTTTGTTCCCGCTGTATCCCACAGCCTAGCACCTGCCTGAGACCCGTAGGTGCTTAATAGCGTATGTAGAAGAAATACATACGTGACTGAGAGAAACTCCTTATAAAAAGCGTGCTAGATTTCTTCTCCGTCTTTTGCATAGTACAGCATCTGCGTGTTCAGAAGATGCTGCCAAGTGAAATACCAGCTATGTTGTTGACTCCACCGCCCCCCCCACCCCGTCCCACTTTACTAAAACAGAGTACAGGAAGAATAAATGGTAGGTAGCGAATGTCCCTCTGTCACCCAGTGAATCCAAGGTTACTAGATGGGGTTCCATTTAATTTAAGAGATCTGGCCCTTGCACAGGGTTTCCAAGGAAAAGGCACGCTGACTCTGAGTGACCAGTAGTTAACAACCACCACCACCACCATTTACTGAGCAGGTGAGAGGCCCACCTCTAAATGCTTTCCGGAGCTCATTTCCTTTGGTCTCTCAACACCTATGACACCCATTATAGAACCCTTGGACCCATGTTACAGATGAGGAAACAGGCTCACACACATTAGGCAACTTGCCCAGGGTCCCACAGCTAGCCTGGATCAGGACAGCCATCCAGCCCGCTCCTCGCTCGGCACTCCACCCAGTGCTTGCCAGTGTCGTGGCCAGGCTGCGGACGCTGGCTGAGGGATGAGGGGAGAGGCCACCAGGGCTGTTTTCGGCTTTGCAGCACCCAGGAAAACAGGCTGCTCTCCCCTCTTCTTCTCAGATCATCTACCTGCGGCGGTTTAAGGACCTGCGGACACTCAGCCTCTCTGGGAACCCCATCGCAGAGTCGGAGGATTACAAGATGTTCGTCTGTGCCTACCTTCCTGACCTCGTGTACCTGGACTTCCACCGTATTGACGACCACATGGCAAGTGTCTCCCTCCGGGCCTCCCCACTCTGAGTCAGTCTTCAGGGCCCCCACCCCCACCCCAGGCTTGGGGGCATGGAGGCCGGGCCTCCTGTGCACACAGGGGAGCTGATGCCTCTGTGGGTAGATTCCTGAGGCTGGCAGTTCCGGACCTGCTCACAGGTGGCCAGGCCCTCCCTGGGTTGCTTCCCGGCACCCCTGCTGCCATCCTGCACTGTCTGATTTTCTGGATGCAGAAGTTGGGGAGGGGAGGGCCAGCAGTTAGCCAGCATGAGCGGCTCTCTGCAGAACCAGGACTCGTCCCTACCCGAGAGCAGCAGTAACCACTGACTGTGGTCCTGCACTTACCTGCCACACACAGGCTGCTATTTCAGGTTGCTGTCGCCATGGCCCATGAGGCAGGCCAGCTCTCACCCTCAGCTTGCCACCCAAGGGTCTGCACAGTGATGTGCCTTGCTGGGAGCTCACGGCCCGGGGTGGTGGGACCCGGAGCTGGTGCCAGATGGAGCTGGTGAAGGGCTTGCCTCTGGCTGCTGCCGGGTCTGGCCCCTGCCCCCTCTTTCCCATGCCCCTGCTGTGAGCTGCCTCCTGTGGCTCGCTTCTTGCCCCACAGTGTGATCAGTTTATGGGCTTTCCCCACCAGAAGGAAAGAACCTGGCCCAATACGTGAGGCCTTGGTGGTTGGAACAGATGTCCCTCCATGTTGGGTGCTGTGGGAGACAGAGGACTGTTTGACCTGCCTGCTCCTTCTTACTGGAAGCTGGTGCCTTTCCTGAGAGAAGGGAGCCCGTGCTTGGGAGCACTGAGGTGATGGGGAGCACTCTGGGGAGCCCAGCAGAAGCTGGGAGGACTGACCAACAGATCTCAGTGCTGACCCTGCCCAGCCTGGACCTCGGAACAGAGCACGGTGCCCAGGTGGACTGTGCCATCTTCCAGATGTGGGGCCCTCTGCTTGCCAGGGCTTCCTTGGGAGGTCCACAGGGATAGGGTGGGGTGGGAGAGTTGCCTCTCCTCGGACTCAAACTCTAATACTCTCAAGTATTTTTTTCCCATTTATACAATAATTTGAAAGTCAGCATAGGCTCCAGTGCTGGGAATAGGCCAGAGAGCTGTTGAGGTGTGTTTCAAAGCTCATTATAGAACCAGGGGACAACTTAACACTGCATTCTTCTGAAGTTCTGAAGGCATTCTTTCCTTGGACCCCAGAAGTTTCCATAAAGGGCAGATAGCTGAGTCTGGGCATCCCTTTTACAATTCAGAACTTGGCTCGAAGCATCAAGATAAATAATAAGAGGATATCAGAGTAGATTTGTGCAAAGCGGGGGCACATGAAACACCCCTGTCACATTACTGCCTGCCCTCGGGCTGCCCACAACCTGGTTGGAGCCCCTGGCCTCTTGGTGCTGTAGGGCTTGGGCAGCAGGACAGCTGGGCCTGGGCATAGCCCAACCAGGAGAGGGTCCAGGCTGTCTCCCGGGTCTCCGGCTGGAGTCCTGGATGGCTCACCTCAGTGGGACTATGGGAGGACAGAGGTCCAAAAAGCAAGCTCTTGAGGTGCCTCTCAGTTCTGTGGAGCTCTCCTTGAGGGCTCCCCCTGTTTTCATCAGGCCACTTTTAAGTTGAGGCCCTGGCCTCTGCCTGGAAGCTGGCAGTCCCGCCTCGAAGAGCAGAGGACTGTCCCTGCCAACCACGTGGAATGGAAAGGGTAGTGAGCTTGCAGGCTTTGTGGGGGGGGGGGGGCGGGGGGACAGGAAACAGGGTGGGGGCCAAGGCAGCAGGGCCATGTTGGGGTTTAGGGCTTATCCCGGTCAAGGTGGAGGCCTGTGGGGAGACCTGAGCAGTTTCCAGCAGAATTTGTGATGTGGTGAGCAGTTCAGGGCCCTGTGACTGGTGTGGAGAACAGAGGGAGAGATGTGGGACTGCAGGAAGGCAGGGGGAGGCAGAGGGCAGGGCTGTCGGAATGGGAAGGAGAGGAGGGCTCAGATACTTGAGGCTTTTAAAATTTTTAATTTCTGGGGATTCCTGAGTGGCTTAGCAGTTTAGCACCTGCCTTCGGCCCAGGGCATGGTCCTGGAGTCCCGGGATCAAGTCCTACATCGGGCTCCCTGCATGGAGCCTGCTTCTCCCTGCTTCTCTGCCTATTTCTCTGCCTCTCTCTCTCTCTCTCTCTCTCAGTCTCTCATGAATAAATAAAAATCTTAAAAATTTTTTTTTAAATTTCCTTATTAAAGGATAAGTATGTAAGAAAACAATATAAGCACATAGCTCTGTGAATAATAGATCTTTAGAAGATGTCACCTCTGCAATATAAACCATTTGCAGCTAAAGCCCAAGGCACAAAACTAGAATGATCCATATACTGCCATCATGTTCAGAAATGAGGCTGGGAGGGGCTTCAGGCAGCACAGGACAGTGGAAAGAAAGCTCAGGATCTGGAATCAGACCGATCCCAAGGAAGTACCTACCTTCCTTTGTGGCACCAACATACAGGAAAAAGAGACAATTACATCATCCCACAAATATGTGAAAATGCCAGGAGGCAAGGACACAGGCCGAGATGTGTAAGATGAGGGGTGGTGGTTTGGGGGTGGCTTCCCCAAGAAAGTGGTTCTGAGCCAGGATCTGTAGGAAGAGCGGGAGTTGGGTGGTGAAGGAATGGCCCGGGCAGGAGGTAGAGCACATGCAAAGGCCTGTGACAGGAGACAGCACGGTGAGGGGGCTGGTGCCCAGAGCTCAGAGAGCTAGAGAGGGTGGCAGGCAGCGCCTCACAAGCCATGCTGGGTGCTTGTCATTACCCTACACCCAAGAGGAAGTCATACAAGGTAAGCAAGGGACAGACAAGATTGGGTTTGCATTTAACAGAGATTGCTCTGGCTTTTTGCCAGGGGAGCAGTGGACAGACTAGGTGGGAGGATAGGTTGCATGGGGGAGCCTGGCTAGGAGGCTGAGGCGGGGTCCCGGCCAGACAGGATGGTGAGACGTGAGCAGGAGCCAGCATGGACAGGCCTGGGCACAGCTGGGGTCTGATGGGCAGGGAAGGGTCCAGGCTATCTCCCGGGTCTCCAGCTGGGGGTGCTGAATGGCTGGAGGGCTTCCCACCTTAGTGGGACCACAGAGGTCCATCTTGGACATGGTGAGTTGGCGGTGCTCTCCAGGCAGCGGGGGGAGAGAAGCCTTCAGAAGCTCACTTCTGGCTCTCAGAGGTAGAGTCTGGGCTGAAGGTAAAGACCAGAGTGTCGTCTGAGGGTGGAGCAATCAGATGTGCTTGCACTTGATGCCTTAGTACAGTTGAGATCTCCTGGGGTAGCAGAGTGAGCCAGGAAGGGTGAAGACTGAGCCCCAGGGACTCCAGTAGTCCCTGGTGGGTGGAAGGGTGTGAGCAGGAGGGGTAGGAGGAGAGCCAGGAGGTGGCAGGCCACAGGGCCAAGGTCCGAGGCCCGTGTGACCAGGTAACCGCCTTTACTGTCTCTCTCTAACAGCCAGAACAGCTGCTATGGAGAGCTGGGGGCACACATCCCTAGGCCCCTGCTCCAGGCCATGCCCCACACATCCTCCATCTGCCTGTGCTGCCTTCTCCCATCCTCTCAGTCCTCCCTAACCCTTAGACTCAGAAAACTTGGAAAAGGCCATGAAGAAGCAAGCCATCCTTGTCCACACAGCCTTCACCAGAGGGCTGTCCACTGCCCCGCATACATATTAGCGGGGCCACAGGACGGCAGAGGCCGGTGTGGCCGGGGGGAGCAGATGTGCCCTGATAATGATGCCACTTCCCACGCCCCTGTCAGAAAGAGATGGCGGAGAGTAAGCACCAGTACAGCATCGATGAGCTGAAGCACCGAGAGAACCTGATTCAGTCCCGGCTGGAGAATGAGCAGGCCCAGCAGGAGGAGCTGGAGAAGCACAAGGTACTGTGCTGGGCAGAGCCTGCCAACCCCCTCTCCCTGCCCTGGTTCCAGGGTGCCAGCCACAGGCTGTGGGGCCAGTTTGATGAAAGTCTGTGGGGCCTGGGCCCCCAGAACCTGTCTTGATTGAAAAGGTATGCCACGTGGCATCTCCTGGCTCTGGTGGAGCATGTCCATCATCCACAGGACAGCGCCCCGTCCCCGCCTCGCTCTGCTGGCCACCTGCCTGCAGAGCCAGCTCTGTGTCAGCCTGGACATCACCTGTCTCATCTCCACACCAGCGTGCTGGGTTCCAGCATGAGGGCCTGGGGAAATGATCCGATAGGGCTGCTCCTTAAAACCTCTGGCATTTCCACTGCAGCCAGGAAGGTTCAGGTCCTTCCTCAGCACAGCCCCGGACCCATTCCTCCTCCCGTAGCCCACACCCCTTCCTCCAGCCTGACTGAGCCATGTGCAACCTTCAAGCATCCCCTCCTCCACTCTCTGCTGAGTGTCCAGTGACCCCAGTGCCCGTGCAGGGCCCTGCCCGCTGAGCCCCTGCCAGGGCCCGAGACGTGAATCAGAGTCCCCTGAGCCCTGCCGTGTTTCTGATTGTAGGCTGCATTTGTCGAGCACCTGAATGGTTCCTTCCTGTTTGACAGCATGTACACCGAGGACATGGAGGGCAACAAGCTAGCCTACCTGCCTGGCGTCAGCGAGCTCCTTCAGGCATATCCTTCCAAGTTCATGTCCAAGTCCTCTAGCGGAGCCGGGGCCCCACACCAGCAGCCTGCAAGGGGCAGGTCCCCCTCTGCTTGGGCCTCAGTTTCCCCATTTTCCCCAAACCCTAGAGCATAAAACCTCTCCTTCACAGCAACAGGCCCAAGAGGCAGTGAAGCACCGGGTCAGCTGAGCGGCATGGGGAAATGCTTTCCAGATTTCAGGGGACGTGCTGAGTCTCTGATCAGCATGGTGCATGGTCTGCTGTGCTTGACAAGCCAGGCTGTCAAGAGGGAAAATTGAAGTGTGTAACTATGGCACTTATCCTTAGTACCTATATTTACTTGTTTTGCTGTGGGCTCCTGGTACAGCGTTTATAATTTCCCAACCACCCAGGAGATGGGTACTGTGATTAATCCCATTTTATAGTTAGGGAAGCTAGACTTAAGGTTACTTGTCCAAAGTCATGCAGTTAGAAGCCGGGATTTGAGCCCTTGTCTGTGAGGCTAAGAGCCTGCATCCTTTCCCCCAATCAGCTAGTGCCAAGAGGATGTCCTTGGCACTTGTCATCATGGCTCCAGACACAATAGTGCCACCATCACTGATTAGAAAGAAATTCTCTTAAAAACCCAGTATTTTAGAAAAGGTGGGGGAGGGGCAGGGAGGGTGTGAGGCTAAGCAGAAGGTGACGAGCCAGGGCTCTGGGCCAGCTAGATGGGCTCCCAGCCTGGCTCTGCCACCCACTGGCTGGATGAGCGGGGCTCATATCTGGGCTGACCTCAAGGACTCCGTGCTGCAGGTGAGGAAGCCGAGGCCCTAGACAGGTAAAGTGGCTTCCCAGGGAAAAGCAGCAACAGAGCCAGGACTTGAACCTGGATCTCTCTGCTTCAAGCCTATGGTCCCCGGACCTCCACAGGCTCCCCTCGGTGCCCTGCAGCCACTGAGCAGGAAGACAGACCCCCAACACCCAACAAAGGTGCCCCCTAGAGAATATGCCAGAGACAGAAATAAAACCACTTGGCTCCCAGCCCCTCCCCGGCCCTTGTAGATCCCCCAGGATGCCAGCTTCCTTCCCTGAGGCCAGTCCCATTCCTGAATCCTTCAGGCTGGGGATGGAGATGCCCCAGCACGGCATTAGACTCCGAATCTCAACTCCCAGCCCCGCGCCAGGAGCTACCAGCACCTCCATCTCGTATCCTGCCGGTGGCCTGCCCCGAGAAAGCCAGCAGTCTCCTTAATGGCCACTCACCTACAAGGACAAGTTCATCATCATCTGCCTAAACATTTTCGAATACGGCCTGAAACAGCAGGAGAAGCGGAAATTGGAGCTTGATACGTTCTATGAGTGTGTCCAGGAGGCCATCCAAGAAAACCAGGAGCAGGGCAAACACAGGATTGCCAAGTTTGAGGAGAAACACTTGCTGGTAGGCTCTGGCCCTCCCTGTCCTCTCCCTGCCCCCCTGCTCCGGATGCTGATGCCGCCCCATGGGCCTGGCCCCACTGGTGGGGCTACACGCCATCTACCTCTCTTCACCCCTAAGACAAATAGTCATTGTCCCCATTTGCCAGCAATCACACAGCTCAGTGGCAGACATGAGCTTTAGCTTTCTACTGGTGTGACCAGCCACGACTCCAGCACCATGCTGGGGCTGAGTCCAGGGTGAGGCCTGTGCGTCTCCTTCACCTAAAACACCCCTGGGGTTCAAGGTAGTGGCACCATTACTATTAACAATGGTATTATCTTTGCCACTCTTGTTACAGCAGTGACAATAACCACTACTTCTTTCGTTCATTCATCCACTTAGCAGACATTTTCTGAGCCACTGCTCCGTGCCCGGCCTAGGAAGCCAGATCCCTGCTGGACATGGCTCCTGCCCTTAGCGAGCTCCCACCTGGTATAGGGGGGCAGACCTAGGCCCTCCCCACTGCGGTAGTCAGCACTCTACTGGAGGGGGGCCCAGGGAGTCTGGAGGGTTCCCAGAGGGACCTTAACTCAGGCTGAGGCTCAAAGGACAAGGACAGATGGGCTGGGGATAGGAGATAACAGCATTCCACTTGACAGAGTGGGCCTGAGGGGTTCAGGAGCTGCCAAACCCAGGCCACTTGGCCCAGGCCAAGCAGTGCTCGGTGAGACTTGTTTCTTTTAATTACCATTATTATTATTGTTAATGTTATTTTAGAGAGAGAAAGCAGGTGCAGGTGCACAGGGTGATGGGCAAAGGGAGAGAGAGAATCTTAAGCCAGCTCTGCACCCACCAGCGCAGTGCCCACCATGGGGCTTAGTCTCACAGCCCTGAGGTCATGACCTGAGCCAAAATTAAGAGTTAGACACTTAACCAACTGAGCTCCCCAGGTCCCCCCATTTAGCGTTATTTTTCAAGACCGATTCTTAACTTATTCTAAATTAAATAACAGATCTTTGTGAGACTATAAGGAAAGCTATGGACCTTTCTCCTAAAAAAACCGTCCACACACACCAAGTCTGAGTACCTGCCTGCAGTGTCAGGGGCTTCAAGGAACCCATAGAGCCACTCCTGGTTGGGAAGTCTTAATTGTGGGTCTTTTGTTTTGTTTTGTTTTGTTGGGAACTCTTAGTTTTAAAGTCAAGCAGAGGGATGCCTGGGTGGCTCAGTGGTTGAACATCTGCCTTCGGCTCAGGGTGTGATCCTCAGGGTCCCGGGATCAAGTCCTGCATCGGGCTCACTGCAGGAAGCCCATTTTTCCTCTGCCTGTGGTTCTGCCTCTCTCTGTGTGTCTCTCATGAATAAATAAATAAAATCTTTGAAAAAAATGAAATCAAGCAGACACAATGTTTAAAGTCCAGTTCCTATAGAAGTCCAGTTCCTGGCTGGCGATGGGCTCCCAGGTGCTTCCTGGCCCTCCTCAGGCCCTCCTCAGTCTCCAGTCCCTGTTCTTGTCTCCTTGGCCTCACATTCCATGTGATTTAACCCTCAGGACCCTCCTCCACAGGTGATGTCGAGGGGTGTTACTGCATTCAACTGGGAGTTCAAGCCTGTCAGCAGAGGAACACATTTGGCTCACATGTGTGTTTTGTTTGGCCTGCAGAGGGTTTTAAAACGTTTTGAACATCCTGCTGACATTAAAAACGGGCAGATTCCAAAGAAGAATTGTGGTTGCCAGCTTCTCTGGAGGCAGCTGTCCCCTCTGGACAAGCCACATTTCCAGTCCCCTGGTCCCTGTCTGGCACATCCTCCCTGACATCTATCTGGTCCCTATAACCACTGGATTCGGGAGGTGTGGACGCCAGCCAGCTGGCTTCTCCTGGCCCCTCAGCAACAAATCCTCCCCTGGAGAAGCAGGACATGGGCCAGGCTACCGCCAGTGTTGTGCTCCTGCTGGCGCCAAGCCTGACTCCCTAACGTGCCGGGTGTAGGTCTTCAGAGCCCCTGAGGCACTGGCCCCTCCCAGATGACTGCTCCTCTCCTGGAGTCTACGGGGACCCTACAAGGTGCTGACGTCCCAGCCCAAGGGGGCGCAGCCTGGCACTGGGATTTTCCTGGGCTCCCTATGTGCCTCTAGTGCTCAGCCCAAGTTGAGCTCGCTCTCTGGCTTGGAAGCTCGCAGGACCCCATGAGCCAGAGACCCCAGTTCTCTCTCCTCTCAGGGCCTCTCTGAGCATGTCCTGTACTGCCCCTCCCCCAGCCCCCACTGGCCCAGGGTGCCCTCAGCGCCCCCCTCCAGGTGCCTAGGGGGGCACGGCTTGGGGTCAGAATGCTCATGTCAATCCCTGGCTGTGACTCTGCTACCCTGCGTTTCCTCACTAGAGAAATGGGGGTAACCGCCTCGTAGGACTGTGGTGGGGAGACAGCGGGGAGCAGAGCCAGGGCAGAATTGTGACCAGCAGGCTGTGTGGTCGAAGTCCCTGGACAGGCAGTACATGCATAAGCATGGGCGCAGAGTGACCGCCGTAGACGGGGAATACGGTTGGTCTGCCTCTAGTCTCCGTGCTTGTGTGCGTGCGTGCGTGAGTGCGTGCGTGATGAAAGTGTAGCATGCACTGTTCTGCACTTTGCTCTGCTGCTTTAATCCATGCAACTTAGAGATCCTTCCAAAACTTGCTTCCTTTTTTATTAGCTTTAAACTCTCTCACTGTGTGGATGAGCCATGACTTATGAAGCCAGTCCCTGTTGATGGACAATTTGCTTTTTTTCCCAATCTTTTGCTCTTCCAAACGGTGTTGCAATGGGTGAGTTGGTGCAAATTTGATCTGCAGGTCGAAAGTCCTAGAAGTAGAACCGTGCATGGCTACTTTTGCTAGTCATTGCTCGGGTGTGCTCTACAGAGGTTGTAGTTTCTGCAGCCCTGCCTACCCCCAGTCAAACTGGTATTCTCAAGCTTCCTCATGTTTGCCATTCTGGCACACTTGGGGTGTGTATTTTCTCATAAGTGAGGGCAAGCATTGCATGTTTTGTAAACGTCTGTGTTTCTTAAACTGTATAAGAACTATTTGTTCTTATAATATGCCCGCCCTAACCCATTTTTTACATTTGGTTTTTGGTCTATATCTCTTTCTATTAAAAAAAAAATCATTACTTTGTAGGAGCCCTTTATAGATTGAGAATAGCTCTGGGTCAGTGAAATGAGTTGGAAATATGTTTCCCACATTGTTGTTTATCTTGTCATTTTTCTGTCTAGGGTGCTTTTGCCACTCAGAATTTTTTTTTTATTTTTATTTATTTATGATAGTCACACAGGGAGAGAGAGAGAGAGGCAGAGACACAGGCAGAGGGAGAAGCAGGCTCCATGCACTGGGAGCCCGACGTGGAATTCGATCCCGGGTCTCCAGGATTGCACCCTGGGCCAAAGGCAGGCGCCAAACCGCTGCACCACCCAGGGATCCCACCAATCAGAATTTCTAAAACTTTGATGGAGTATAATTTTTTAAGTTGTTTTTTTTTAAAGATTTTATTTATTTAATCATGAGACACACACACACAGAGAGAGAGAGAGAGAGAGGCAGAGGCACAGGCAGCGAGAGAAGCAGGCTCCATGCAGGGAGCCAGATGTGGGACTCGATCCCGGGTTCCCAGGATCATGCCCTGGACTGAAGATGGTGCTAGACCGCTGAGCCACCCAGGCTGCCCTATGGAGTATAATTTATCAAGTCTTTTTTCTGGTTATACTTAGAAAGGACTTCTCCACTTGAGATAATTTCTTAAAATCCACTCATTTTTCCTTCTAGTACTTTTATGGCTTTACTTTATACATTTAAGTCTTCCCTCTGTGGGAAATACGTTTTCATGTAAGGTTCAAGGTAGGGATTGAACCTGATTTTTCTCCCTATGAGGTAGCCATGATTATAAATATTCTTCACACTGAATTGTGGCAAGTTACTCTGTCCTGCTTCCCAACTAATACCATATATCAACAGAAACAAGTTGGTGGTGCATCTGGTAGTAAAGCCCCCAGGACGTTTGTCAGTGAATGGCTGGAATTCAGTGCCAGGCTTGGTCCCCAGGGTACTTTCCAACCCGTGAGCACCCTTTCATTACAAACAGTCCAGCTCTGGAGTGTTCCATGGGCCCAACTGGTTTCCTAACAACTATACCTTTTTTCCAGTGTCCCTCTACCTGTACCTGCCATGGGCCTTTTATTGGAGACTCTGCTAGCCAAGCCCCTGCTGAGCCCAGAGCTCATATATACCACCTAATCTCCAGGACTCTGTGACACACACACTTCTCTCCCCCTTTACGTGAGGAAACCAAAGCTTAGAGAATGAAGGTAGCACACTCAAGGTCACACTGCTTATAAGTTACCCAGACGGGATTCAGATTCAGGTTCACCTGACCCTGAAGCCACTGCTTCTTCCACCCAGCCCAGCCACATCTAATGAAAACCAGAGCTAACAAACCAGTGCCAGCATTTGTGCTGCCTCCAGGCACGGGGAGGGGAAGCAGCTTCTGCAAGCTCACAGAGCCAACAAGTGGCAGAGCTGACACTTGAACTTGGACAGCCCAACCCCAGAGTCTAAATTCTCACCCACAAAGCCAACTGTCGCCTGTCATTAACTAACTACACTTGGTCATGGATTCCTATAGCACAGGCTTTTGTTTCCAGAGTCTAAATGCCATTCGAGATGAGTCTGAACTGACCAACTTCGAGATGAAGATAGTGGAATATGGCAAGGACATCACGGAGCTGTTCAACGTGCTCATGACACTGGAGATGCAATTGGTAGAGCAGCTGGAGGTGAGGCTGAGTCCCTGGGGCTCAGATGTGGTGTGATTGTGCCCTACCAGGCCCGTTTGCAGGAACATGGTGATTCAGCTGCCAAATCATACCCAAGCTGGAGCCTTCCCGAGTGCTCCTCTGCTGGAAATGTCCAGTGCAACTCAGCATGGCAGACTAAAGCTTTCTTTGCTCATCAGCCCGGTGTTTTCTTTTAATATTGCTTTTAATATATTCCAATTGTTCAGATTGTGATTCTTGTACAGCATGAGAGCTGAGCTCATTCCTCTGGAATGCACCCCCTAAGAGCCACAGCGGGGAGAGGTTTTTTTATTAGACCCAAGGAGCTGTCTGGGTGCTTGAGAAACAAAGTAGGCCCCCTGCTCTAGGATGGAACAAAGGCTCCTCCGCATTGCAGCCTGTATTTGCCACATCTCAGGGCCATGCGAGGAGCCTGCGATTCAGCACAAAGTCGTGGCAGTGCAGCATGCTGCTATCTAGAATTCCTTATAGCCCGAGTGACTTGTGTTCATGAGGCAGCTAAGGCTGGGAGTCTGAAGGGCCGTGATGAATTGAACCTCATTGGATGCTGCCGTGGCTGGGCCAAGAGATAGCGCCTAATCAATTCCTCACATGTCAAGTGACACCTCCGACATGGATAGATCTCCCCATCACGGCACAGGGCAGATGCTTGCTCCCCACTGGGGAATGCTCGAGTGCTCCAAAAAGCAGCTCATGGAGCATCAGGGGAGGCTCAGGCAGCAGCTCCCCACTGTTAAATGCAGGGAGGGTCCTTTTCCAACAGCCAGAAATTCCCCAGAACCTGTGCATGGTCAGGCTTACTAGTATTACCAGTGGCTAGAAAGCTGTTAGGTGCAGTCATGCTTTTCAAAGGACTCTATTTTTATTCATCACAACAGTGTTTACACACATTTGAAAAATGTGCAGCTCGGTCTGCAGACAGTCCTCAGGCTCCTGTAGATTCTCCATGCCCTTCGCGTACCCTGAGGCCCCCTGGGTCCATGGTAGATCAGAGGCATGACCCATCCTGGGGCTCACAGGGGAGCAGGCCTAACCATCACATCTGCCATGGCTCCCTCACTCAAGTCTCATTTAGGCCTGGGTGCCCAGCTAAGCACTGGGATGCAGCCCCGTGGGGTACATCAGAGGGAGGTAGAAAGCCATCATGCAGCTGCACTCGTGGTGAGTGGTTGGGGGTAATGGCCAGCATTACTGAGGCACCTTGCAAAGCATTTTGGGTGAAGTAAGTAACTCATTTAAATTTCACTACTCCAGGGACACCTGGGTGGCTCAGGGATTGAGTGTCTGCCTTCAGCTCAGGGCATGATCCTGGGGTCTGGGATCAAGTCCCGTGTAGGGCTCCTTGTGAAGAACCTGCTTCTCCAACTCTTCCTGTGTCTCTGCCTCTCTCTGTGCCTCTCATAAATAAATAAAACCTTAAAAAATTTTTAAAAAAATAAATTTCACAACTCCATGAGACAGCTACTACAAAGAAAACCCATTTCATAGATGAGGATGTTGAGACCCAAGGAAGTTACACACAGTGGTGGAGCTGGCATAGTGATCCACATGGTGTGGCTCTTAGCAATTTTCTCCCTTGTTCCTCTAGAGGTGATGGATACATGCCACTAAGAAGCCCAAAGGAGGGAGGTTAGCTCTGTGTGTGGATGTGGGGGGTTGTCGGAGGGTGAGACCAGAACAAGTATTCCTGGCAGAGGGCCCAGCCTGTGCAAAGGCCTGGACGAAGCTTTGCACTGAACCTTCGAAGGGTGGTGAGTAAGATGAAGTGGCTGAGAGTGACACAGCCATGAGAAAGAGGTCAGGAGAGAAGGCCAGTTCATAGACATCTACCTGGGAAGGTTAAGGTGGTTGGTCTTTACCCTGAAGGTCTGGGATTAGAGGAGGCACCTGCTAAGTTCTAAGGAACACCTTTTGCTCTGACGCTAGGTCAGTCAGGTTCCTGTCTAGGTATTCATGCTGTGTTCTTTGTCGTTTCTAGGAGACTATAAACATGTTTGAAAGGAACATCATTGACTTGGTGGCACTCTTTATTGAAAATGTGCAAAGCCTATATCCTTTCCTTGATGACCCTCCATGGGGAGGCGCTCCCAGCCTGCGGGGGGAGGGGGCGCGGGGGGGGGGTGGTATCCTGGCCCACACCAGGGGAGGCACTTGCATTTTTAACAAAAGGCAGAGAAAGGTACAGCTCTTTCATGAACTAAGCAGGATGCAAATAAGTGTAGTCCCTTTCCAGGTGGCCACCTTTGGGGTCAAACCTACCCCCTCCCACTGCCACCAATGTCCTAAACATGTTGGCAGAGATGGGTAAAAAGCCAGTGCTCTATAATCATACTTCACTTTTTCCCAGCAATACCTGAGCCCGGCTGATTTACAGAGAGATCTATACTTGCATCAGGATGATGTCAGACCCATCACAGGATCCCATTTGGTGGGACCCTCCACCTTTGAGACCAGAGGAATGTAAAACTTCCAGTTTTTCACTGAGGAAAAAGTTCACCTTCAAAAGATGGAGATTTGGCAACCACTTGGAATGTTCACAGAATGTTCCACAGGGTCTGAGGGAGTTTCCTGACCCTCAGAACAATGATGCCTTTTTAAAGTAAAGGTTTGGATGCCTAAACTGGCTGCTGCGTGGGGCCCTGTTTGCAGTAGAAGCTCTGACATATTTGTTCTCAAATGAGTGATCATGGGGATGTGGGAGGCCACACCCCAGAATCCCTGCAGGCCTCCTGGGTTGCAAGAACACACGCCCAGGAGTAGGGCCACATCCATGTTGCAGACACTGACAAATCCTTTATAGTGAGATTGTCGGGGTGAGGAGCCAACATTTGGGGCCTGACCAACCCTTCTGCTACCTGAATTCAGGGCCCTGCCTGGGGACTGGGAGGGGCAAACTGCTGTGCTGTACCCCAGAAGTAACCTCCTGGTCCTGCCTCCCTGGCCCACATCCCTGCAAGGGGACAGAAGTTATGGAGGCAGTAAGTAAGCAGAGGCCAGGGTCCCCTGAGAACCCGAGTGTGGACCTGAGGGACAAGGCAGAAAAGTGGGGAGGACAGCCAGGCAGAAGAGGCAGCCTGTGCAAAGGCCCTGAGGATGTGTCAGAGAGATTTTAAGACGAGGCCTTTAGGCCACAGTAGAGAGTTGGAAGCCCGGGAGAGTGGTGAGCATGGGAGGGATGAGGTCCAGTCTAGGTACGTGTTTAAGAGCACGCTGGCTGCTGTGGGGAGAAAGGGCTAGAGCTGGGAGACCAGGTCTCAGTTCGCTGTCCAGTCAGGAGGTGGTGGGAGGGAGAGATGTGGAGGATTGAGGGGCTCTGAGGGGACAGGGCACTAAGGGTCAGCCCAGCCATGGGCAGTGTGGTGTTGGTGCATGAGGGGTGGACCGGAGTGGTCCTGGGGCTTCCTGTATGTGGATGGCGGGCTGTGAAGGTGGTGAAGCCCTGGCACCTGCGGGTGGGCCCTTCTGCCTTTCAACGGCTCAGCCCTCGGAGGGTCTGCAGCGGCACCTGCTCCACCCCTGGCCTTTGCTTAACTTGGCCACACGATGGCTCAGTGTCGGGACCTGGAGAACCACCACCACGAGAAGCTTCTGGAGATCTCCATCAATACTCTCGAGAAGATACTGAAGGGCGATGTTGATGAGGACCTGCCTGATGACTTGCGCCCAGTGAGCACTGTAGGCGGGGCTCGGTCCCCAGTGGGCCGGGTGGTGGTCGGGGTTGGGGGGGGCAAGGCGGGCCGCTGAGGGACAGACAGATGGAAGAACAAAGTCCCCGGGCCCCACCTCCCGTGGCTCTAGTAAGCCTGAAAGCCTCCTGGAGCCTCAGTTTCCTCACCTGCAAAAGGGACAATGACCTCCTTTGCACAGTGGTTGGCAGATGAAATAGGCCAACAAGCTAACACCTGGTGGGCACTCAGTGGGGCCCATCTAAAGAGGGGCTCATGATAAATGAGTCGTTTCAAGTTACCAACAGGTTAGTTACCCAAAGTCTTTTTTTTTTTAAGATTTTATTTATTCAGGAGAGACACACACACACACACACACACACACACACAGGCAGAGACACAGGCAGAGGGAGAAGCAGGCTCCATGCAGGGAGCCCAATGTGGGACTTGATCCCGGGTCTCCAGGATCAAGCCCTGGGCCAAAGTTGGCACTAAACTGCTTGCCCCCACCCCCAAAGTCTTTCTGTGGGGCTTCTGGCAGCCTCTGAGAGAGGCAGCTGCAAACACAGATTAAGTTCTGAGACTTCACAGGCAGGTCTTCCTGAGTGTCTGATAGGCAGCATTACTAGGGTGTTGGAACAGTGGGAGCACCATTTGATTGGCCCGTTGCTTCCCACCTTCCACCAGCCTGTCCAGGGGTGGGTAGTCCCACAGCAGCAGGGGCCGAGCTCCTGAGGCTGCTCACTGGGGAGGCTGTCCGGGTCTCCTGCATCAGGGTCCAGTGGGGGTGCAGTGGGGTTGTGTGTCATGTCTCTAGAGAGGGGCATAGGCCAGATACTTGTCGGGAGCCTTCCTTCCTTCATCACTCATTCCACTCCCCATTTCTCAGCTTCTCTCACCTCCATGTTAGCACCAGACCAAGCCATGTTGTCCTTTCCCTCGACCACTGTCTCCTTACTGCCCTTCTATAGGCTGTTCTCCACGCAGCAGCCAGAGATCCTTGGGATCCAAACCTCATCCTTCTGTGCCTTTGTACCACACAGTAATGGCTTCCTGTGACCCTTGGACTAAGCACTTCACTTTACCGTAGTCCACCAGACCCTCGTGCCTGGCCTCCTCCCCTCGCCCCAGCCTCGGAGCCCTTCCCCAGGTTCCCAGGCTTGCTCCTTTCATTTGATATTCCACCTAGCAGACAATCCCCTTCCCTCTGGTCTCTGGGTGTCTCGCTCTTCCTTGTTTGGCTCTCAGCCCAAATCGCAGCTCTTCGGAGAGGCCTTCCCTCATCACTTTCCTGGAAAACCACCATCTCTCTATCACACACACCATTTATCATTGTCAGGGCATTATTAAAATTACAAGCTATCATGTGTGTGTTGATTTGCTCTATGACTCTTCACACTAAATCCAGGCTCATGGGTAAGGCCGAGATGGCCTCTTCACCACCATGTACCTCGCCGGTGCCAGCAGTGGTGCACGGTACAGTCACAGGGCAACCCAAGTGCCAGGAGTTCATGAAGCCCCACTTGTCAGGTTGTGGCTAAGTCTGGCAGACAGAGACTGGCAGTCCTGTCTGGGGCTGAGACAGGAACCCAGGGCAGCAGCTTGTTGGCAGGGCCACTGTGTTGCCAGCCCTCCCTCCCTAAACACCTGCCAAATGCTCTTACTAACCAGACACAAGGAGCTGTCACTCTCCCTGAGCCCTGAAATCAGGCGTCCCCCAAGAGCCCACTCTGTTAGACCCCAGATGGACCATCGAGGAGTCTTGGAGCTCCCTCATGACACAGCTTCCAGGTCTGTGACACTTAGTGGGCACAGGATTGAAACACCCCTCCCTAATAACCGGGACACAGAAAAATATGGACCCCGAAACTCTGGCAGGCAAGCAGGCTGGACTGGTGCTTCCAGTGGCGAGCCCTCTCTCCTGCTGGGATGACAATGCCTGGCACCATCTGACACCTGTTTCTGTAGCTTCAGGAAGATTCAGTACCCACTGACTGGGTTGAAGCTGACCACAGTGGCTGGAAACACGGAGCTCCACTCCCTGCAGGCTTGCCATTGTCAAGGCAATGAAGCCTGATGCTCACATATCTCCTTTATCTCCCCCAAAGGGCCCTACAAAGGTGGTACTGTTATCATTTGCAATTTACAGATTAGAAAATAGGGTAAGACTTTGTCTCAGAGAAGTCTGTTAAACTGCCCAAGATGACACCATTTGAGAGGACCAGAGTCTGAATTGAGACTCCAGCCTGAGAGATGCCGAGCCTGTGCCCCTCATTGTAGACGATAAGCTGGCATGGCCCCAGGCACTAAGATAATGGGGCTCTGTCTTGGGCTTTCTGGCAGGACTGGTGTTGAGTGCTACCCTCAAGGCCTCATGAGGGCGGCCAGCAGAGCTACTGTACGCCCTCCCCTCTGCAGGCCAGGGAGAGCTCTGGCCTTTGGGAAATGACTGCAGTTGCATGGAGAGACATCACCAGAACCTTAATACTGTGGTGTAGGTCTCCTTAGTTATTAAGTAGGCTCCATGTCCAGCATGGAGCCCAATGCAGGGCTTGAACCCCCAACTCAGATCAAGACCTGAGCTGAGGGATGCCTGGGTGGCTCAGTGGTTGAGCACCTCCCTTCGGCTCAGGTCATGATCTCAGGGTCCCGCATCAGGATCCCTGCAGGGAGCCTGCTTCTCTCTATGTCTCTGCCTCTCTCTGTGTCTCTCATTAATAAATAAAATCTTAAAAAAAAAAAAAAAAAGACGAGCTGAGATCAAGAGTCAGACACTTAACTGACCAAACCACCCAGGCGCCCTGAGGTCTCCTTACACTGAAGCAACAAAGCGGGATATTGTTCTTGGGGCGGGGCAGAGGGGGGGATGCCCTGATTGTAAAAGTAGTAACAACAAATAACTAGCATTTACTGAGGGCCTTCTGAGGGCTGTCTGAGAAGCACCGGACACATATTTGCTCTTTTAATTTTTACATCAACACAGTAAAATAGGTACCATTATGATTCCCTTTTACAGACAAGAAAACTGAGGCACAGAGACCAGAGTAACCCTCACAAAGACACACAGTGTAGGAGTGGTAGAGCTGTGATGTGAACACAGGTGGTCTGACTCAGAGGTCTCACTCATCTGAGTGAATAGGGCCCTCAGTGAAGAAAAAGTCTGGTTTCTCTTATCTGATTATCAATGAGCAGATCTCGATAAAAAAAAGTCCCACTGAGGAGACTGTCTCTTTAAAAGTCCTCTCATTCAGTTGAGTGATTATGATCAGCTCATGCCACAGTTCTGGCCAAATCTGTCTCTTTGAAGTCCTTCCCTACTTTGGAAGGCAGAGAAGAAGGCACGGGCTCAAGGAGAAAGCCTGGTGCTGGCAGCGAGGGAGGGAGTGGGAGAGGCGCTGGCAGCCATAGCTGCCATGGTAAGGTCAGTGTGGCCACAGGCGTGGCTGCCACTCCCCCCACTGGGGCTCAGAGCCATGAGCCTCATGCGTGCAGGGGGCCAGGGGTCAGACTTACTCCCGGGGTGCTCTGAACAGCCATGTGGCCGTCCAGCTGCGATGGCAATGCCAGCGCTCAGGCCCAGGGCACAGAGAGGACCTGCAAGTCCCCAGGGTCTGCTCAGGTGACAGTGGACGTGACCCAGGCCAGTAGTCTGTACACAGAGTGGCTGCGGACCTTAAGGTCCCTTGGGCGGGAGCACTGGCAGCACAGGTCCCTGTCTCATCAGCTGAGCAAGGCTGGGATCTCTGCTTGTTTCTCTGTGGTGACGTGGGGTTCAGTGTCACCAGGTGCCCTGGGCAGGTGTGACAGAATGATCTGATCCCATGGGGGCATGGGGCAGCAACTGGGGGCCTAGCATGGTGGCAGTCCTGGGGAGGGGCACCAGCTGTGCCCTTCTCAAAAGGCATCGCAGCCCAAGAAGTTGCTTGGAAACAAATGTGCCTTGAGGGCTGTGTCTTCACCTCTGTGACGTCCAGCAAGTGACTCAGAGTAGGGGGGTGGCTTGGGAGCCAGGAGCTTAGGAAAGCCACTATGACCCTTTCTTTAAAATGAAGAACCAGGACCACCTGGTGATGAGTGGATGTGGCTGTGGCTACCTCTACATCACCAGGACGCGCTCCAGAGTAGGCTGCCTGGAGCTCACGGGCAGGCAGGCTGTACACGTCTGCGAGCCCTTCCCAGAGTCTGGCCCAGGACCTTCTTGCACAGAGGAAGACTAATGACTTCTTGTCATTTCTCCCATGCGGTCGTGCTAGCTGGCCCACGGGGTGCCCATTCCCTGCGTCAGCTAGCCTGGCTTTTCTACATGGGATTCTGTGCAAAAACCACCATCCCACAGGCATTACCCTGAAAAGAAGTCTGTGGCCAAATAAACTGGAAAACCAAGAGAGACAAAGTTAAAAGAGTTTATACATTCCAGAGTCTTCTCATTTTTGTGCCCTGTAAAATTCAGAAGGGGCCTCAGTATGCAAGTCTTTCGCAAATGTATTTGACCAAAGGAAACTTTTTTTACAGAAAGAGTAATATCTCAAGATTCCATAGAACAGGGCAGCCCGGGTGGCTCAGCAGTTTAGCGCCACCTTTAGCCCAGAGCGTGATCCTGGAGTCCTGGGATCCAGTCCCATGTCGGGCTCCCTGCATGGAGCCTGCTTCTCCCTCTGCCTGTGTCTCTGCCCCTCTCTCTCTCCCTCTCTCATGAATAAATAAAATCTTAAAAAAAAAATATTCCATAGAACACATTTTGGAGACTATTAAGTTAACCACTACTATACTAAAGAAAGAAACCAAGTATTTATCTGCTTGCAATCCTCTCTACAATGTAGAACATTCAGGTCCTTTGCCTCACACAAAGTACCTTTCTTCAAAGTGTAAGCAGCCTTGCCCTGCTCTGGGAGGTGATTCCACTTGATTTCCAACTGTGCCAGCTACACCACAGCTATAGTGCAGACACCCAGAACCCAGCCAGGCCTGGTAGAGGGCGGTCATTTTCAACTAATTTTTACAAGGCAGAAAACAAGGTTGGGAACAAGATGGCAGGAGACCCCAAGTATAATCCAAAGTTCAATGTGGTTAATGGGAGGGGAGAGGTTAATGAGATTTTTTGTTGTTTTATTTTAAAGATTTTACTTATTTATTCATGAGAGACACACAGAGAGAGGCAGAGACATGGGCAGAGGGAGAAGCAGGCTCCATGTAGGAAGCCCAATGCAGGACTCAATCCCAGGACCCCAGGATCACGCCCTGAGCCAAAGCCAGATGCTCAATGGCTGAGCCACCCAGTTGTCCCAAGGAAGAAGTTACTGTTAACAGAGAAAGACAGGGTGGGGCGAGTGGTCATAGCTTCACAGCGCCTTCTGGCCTCAGAGCAGCCTCGAGACCCTCAGCCAGCCTCACACTTACCACCCGACGGGCAGGTTTCAGGCAAATCAGACTTGAGGGCAAGCAGGAGAGAACCACTGTGGGAACAGCCACCTGCCTTGGCCCTGAAGAAAAGACACTCCCAACTTAGTATTGCAAAGCCAATGCCTGGGTGGGCCCCTTCCCCATAGCGCTTGCTGCAGTTCGGGTCTGGGAGGCGTCTCTAGAAGATGAGCAGTAAGAAACACGCTCTGACACAAAAGTGGGCTCTCCATGGGGGCCTGGCGGCTGCCTCCACCCACAAGAAGACATTCAGCTGTGCCCTTTCTCTTCAGCTCTCTGACCTGGTGCTCAGGGGTGGGGAACAAGACACACACGCATGCCCATTTGATCTTTCTTGCTCACCAGCTTTTTGTTGACAAAGATACGATCTTTAATGCTGTTGGGGCGTCACATGACATCCACCTCCTGAAGATCGACAATCGAGAAGATGAGCTGGTGACCAGGGCCAACTCTTGGTGTACGCACTTAGTAGACACGGTGAGTGAGCACTACCCTGGTCCAGCAGGCCACCAGCCATGGAGAGTGGGAAGCTTCCCCTGGTGGCCCGTATTCTTGGTGATAAGAAATAAAGTAAAATTAAGGAGGGTAGAATTGCCTGCCAAAGACAGTGTTGACCCTCCAGACTTTAGAACCCACATGCTAACCCACCCTAACTCCCCCTCAAAGACATAGATGCATAGAACGCAGAGACTTCACAGTACATGAGGGACACAACTATGCAGATTTCACAGACCGACTTCCTTTTCCCCCCAGACTGGACTAGGTGAGAGCATATAAGCCAACTATCTGACTTAAGGCTTTGGTTTCAACCCCTTAGATCCACAAGAATGAGATCATGAGGAATCGCAGGCGAGTCAAGGAGATCAATCAGTACATTGACCACATGCAGAATGAACTGGACAGCCTAGAATGCAGTGACGTCATAGATTAGGGCCATGCGGCCCAGCCAGTCCTGGGAACACAGCCCTCGGCCCCTGCAGCCCGTGCACACGCCACTCACATCCCTGACCACCTCACGAGCATCACTGGGACTTTCTCAACCCACAACACCCACCCACCCTCAGCACCATTCTTTCCCCTCCCCTGGGAAAACTTAAACACGTAGAGAAAAATAAAAGACTGTCATCTTTTCTCCATTCTTTTTTTTAAGATTTATTTATTTTAGAGCGAGCGCAAGTGGGGGGAGGAACAGAGGGAGAGAGAGAAGCAGGCTCCCCACTGAACACAGAGCCCAATGGGAGCTTGATCTCACGACCCCGAGAACATGACCAGAGCTGAAATGAGGAGTCGGTTGCTTAACTAACCGAGCCATCCAGGTGCCCCATGTTTTCTCCATTAAAAAAAAAAAAAAAATCCTGTTCACGTGTATGCAGGAGAAAGTCTAGGATGATCAGTTGGTCTTGCAACTGGCCAGTCCACCGAGAACAGCTTCCAAGGTGGCTGCCAGTGGGCTAGACTCTTGGCTACAGCCTAATGCCAGCTGTATGTCCAGAACAGACTGCTGGCAGTAGGCAGAGGAGACCGACGTGGACTAAGCCTTTCTTTCCGCTGCGTGCTGGGGGGGGGGGGGGGCGGGACACGAGAGAGGCCACAGGCCCCAGCATCACCAAGGCGGAGGCTGTGGCTCCCTGTGTCTATAAGTTTGGGTGCAGGGGCCAAAGGACCCTCTGGAGATTAACAGCACAAGCTGGGTCTCCCCTGTCATCTCTGTAACCTGAGCTTCATCTGTGAAGTGGGGATGTGACAGGACCTCCTCCAAGCAAGTCAGGGCTTCAGGGAGAGCATATGGAAGGTGTGGAAAAGCACCTGGCATGTAACCAGGGCTCGATGAAGGGGATGATACCATTTCATCACTCGGGGTGCCAGGACAGGCGGCTCAGAAAGCCTTTTCTGCCTGAACTCTCAGACTCTTCCTGCTTCCCTTGCACTGGGCCCTGGCACCAGTAGAATGCACCTGCCACCCAGGGTGGAGCGAGTGTCCATGTCGGGAGGATACAAGTCAGGCGGCCTTGCCCTGCCTGCCTGGGCTTTTAACCCACAAATAATACATGCTTTCTATCTTCAAGAGTAAATTATTTCTTCTAAAATACTAGAACAAATAGAAATAACTGGCTTAGAACAAAAAGGACTCACTTTCAGAAGAAGACTGATTAAAAAACCAGGGAGAAAAAAAAGTCTTTAGGCTGAGGGCCACAGAGTTGTCTGTTGATATGATTTCCCCAACTGTGTGAGGTTCCCGGCTCCAGGCAGCAGGGAGCAGACCATGCCATGGGAGGTAAGCCGTCTGACCCTGGTGAAGCCCAGACGTAGCAAGAGGAATGGAGGTGTGAGTGAAAACAGGGCTCCACACGTTTCCAGGGCAGAGAATATTTTAATAAAATATTTTTAATAAAATCAGCTTGAGAGAAAGTCACTCATATGCTTGGCCCGCTTGCTCACTCGCTGCCAGCTGGGGCAGGGGCGCCTGGGTTGGACTCGAGCTGACTTCGACAGGCATTCTGGTTCCCAGGGGCATTTCAGAGTGCCACCGAGCTGGCCCTCTCACCCCCACAGTCTGGGGGGGTGTGCAGTGGCCATGTAGCCTCCATCCCACTGGGCCAGGCCTCACTGCTGCAGGAGCTTGTGCTTTACCGTGGTGTTCTCAGAGCAGAGGTGGACGAAGAGGGTGCCGGCGGCTGTGCGTGCCCGCAGCTCCTGCAGCTCATAGTCATGGGCCCACTCGACGTTGCCCCACTTCTGGATCTGAGGGGAGGACAAGACATGCTGGGTAGCTGCCAAGTGCCTGGCTGCCTACCTGCCAGAGCCACATTCTGTCCCCGTAGCCAGGCTGAGGGGACTGGGCTCCAATCTTGCCAAAACACGAGACCCACACAGGCGAGGCAGCAGGTGAGAATGTTCGGGTGGACAGAGCAGGGTGACGGGGCACAGATGGCTTGGGAGGGGGCCAGTTGAGGCCCAGGGGCACCCAAACTGCTGGGTGGGCCCAGCCCCCAAACCACACATGCATCTCCCCAGAGGGGGCACAACCTGCATGTCGTCTTCCTCCCACAAAGAGGCTGTTGTGAGGCCGCCTGCAAAATGTCATCCTCTACAAGCTGCCTCCCCAGGCTGGGCTGCACATGCCCCTCGTGTGGGTGGGATAAATAAATCAACCGAGGCCACATGGCTGCTTTAGTTCTGACTACCCGGGGGGCTGCAGTATTAAAGCAAGCTGTGCTGGGCATGCAGGAGCAGGCTCGTGGACTCTCTCCAGAGCTCCAGCGACTGGAGGGACGAGCCCCAGACTCACAAGGCGGCTGTCCAGATGGCAGTGTGATCCAACCAGAACCTGCTGGCTCCTCCCTGCCTGAGGCCCAGCTGCCCCAGCCCATCCGGGCACACACCACACAAGCTACCGGCCTTTCTGGGCAGTCCCATCTCAATGTGGACAACTGTGATCTGCCAACTGAGAAGCACTTTATATTTTCAGAGGACAGGTAAGTCCCTGCTTTGTGGTGGGTCAAACCTGAAGGTCAGAGAGTGATGGCCTGGCTCGGGGCCCGGGGTCAAACATGGAGCCCCGCCTGGAGAGGTTTCCTGGCTCTCCGCCTCCCTGGCCCTCATACCCCCATAAATCACCCTCTGCCTGTTTCATCGTTTCTAGCTAGTCTCTTTTGTGGTAGAGAAACAGTTTTTTCCCCTGGCATTTTTCTGAGCAGATGACTAGACGGACTCGGGAAATAATGTCATTACAAAATGGTTTTCATCATGCTAGGAGCCGACGTGTAATAGCAATTAACCTTCTGAGGGTGGAGAAGAAACAGAAAAAAGACTGCGGAGAATGCCATAATTCTCAGAGCTAAAAAATGCAAATGACAGTATAGCAAAACCGTATTAATTTCAAACCCACTAAATGGAAACTTCTGTACAGACAGCAGCCACCCATGCTCTCCATTGGCCAGATGACCTGCAGTGTGAGTCAGGGTGCCAAGGCTTAGCTCAGCCTCCTTGTGGAGGGAATGAAAGCGTGCACACGGCTCCGTGTCAGTGGGGCTGCTGTGCAGGTGTGCCAAGCAGATGATCCTGATCTGCCTACGCACCTCGATCTAGAGCCGCCCAGCCCTGGCTCCAAACCTTGCTCCAGCATTTTCCAGGGGTGTGACCTGTGCCTCACGTTCCCCCTGTGTAAAATGAGTGTAACGACAGCCCCCACCTGGCCAGTTGTTCAGAAGAGAGGAGGCGAGGAGGGGAGAGCTAAGCATGCTGGAACGCCATGGCAGATGTGCTACTGTTTTGCTCTATTACGGTTTCCTCACAATACTTTCATCGGCCCTTAATTTTGGTTTCTGGATGTACATGAAAGTCACAAGAGGCCAAATCTACATAAAAGCATTTTAGAGGGGCTAGCTACCTCACCCCATTCCACCCCCTGCCCTTGGGCTGCTGGCTACACCTCACCTGGTATTCCTCCTCCAGGCGGGACAGTAGCACAGCCTGCTCCACCGTCAGGTGCAGGTCCATCAGGCCCAAGGTCAGGACCATGGACTTGAGCTGGGTCACTACAAATTCAATCCCTGCCGGGACACAAGCCAAATGAGGATCCAGGCCCCCCCCCCACTCCAAAACAGGGCAGTTGCCAGATCTACTCTCGGTGAGTTCCTGCAGCCCCAGAGAGGTACAAGTGCCAGGTGGCGGACAATGGTCACAGGGGACATGCGCTTTCTGGCTGGCACTGGATCCATTCCCCATTCTTCTCAAAGAGCACTCGGATTTCCACTGGGGGTGTGATCCCTCTTCTGCACCTGCCCAGGGTGAGCACATGACCTGAACAGGGCTGGTCAGAGGACTCCACACCTTGGTCCAGTGACTGGTTCCCAGATGGGCATGTGACTTGAGCCAGGCCAATGAGCCTTGAAGTTAAGACACCTGGAGAAGAGATAGCCAACTTCCTCCTGGGAGGGTGAGAGCCTGCTGTCCTCCTTGGACTGAGTAGAAGGGTTAGCTAGCATCAGAGCCACCCCCTAGAGTGCTCCTGTGACACTCTGGGCTTCCAGGGCCCGTGCCCATCAGGCCACCTTCCAGGCCCACACAACACAGCATACATACCTTGTAGGGCCCACATGTTATAAGATGCCAGGTGACTGATGAGCACTTCTCGAGTCCTGGCTGGGATGCTGGGCCCCATTATGCTGGTAGAAGAGCCGATCTCCACATCATATCTGAAAGGAAAAGGCTTCAGCATGTCCCTATTGTGCCATGTGGCCCAGCTTTTGCCTGGAAGCAAAGTCCTCAACTGTTGAGCATGCATATGCTCCGTGAAGGCTAGTCTTAGCCTTCTGGGAGCAGCTGCTGTGGTCAGTGGCCTCCTGACCTAATCATTTCGTGTCACTCCAGAGCTCTGCACTTATCACCCCATGTAGATGCCTGAAATTCTGACTCGTTTGCCTAGAATCTCTTTCAGAAGCATGGGATGCTTGTTTTTTATATCTTTTAAGAATTTTTTTCATATTTGAGACCACAAAAGATTTCTTTAAAAGGTTATTTTCCTGGGGCACCTGAGTGGCTCAGTCAGTTAAGCATCTGACTTGATTTCAACTCAGGTCATGATCTCAGGATGGTGAGATCAAGCCCCGTGTCAGGCTCCTCACTGGCCTGGAGGTTGCTTAAGATTCTTTCTCTTTTTCTTTCTCTCTCCTTCTGTCTCTCCCCCTCCCTCTCTAAAAAATTTAAATATAAATTAAAAAAACAAAACCTATACTCCTTGAGGTGCCTGGGTGGCTCAGTTGGTTACACATCTGACTGGATTTCAGCTCAGGTCAAGATGTCAGGGTTGTGAGACTGAGCCCTGCATCGGGCTCTGCACGGGGCATGGAGCATGCTTAAGAGTCTCTCTCTCTCTCATTGGTGAGGATTTGGAGAAAGGGAAACCCTCTTATACTGCTAGAGGGAATGCAAGCTAGTATAGCGACTCTGGAAAACAGTATGGAAGTTCCTCAAAAAGCTGAAAATAGAGCTCCCCTATGACCCAGCAATTACATTACTAAGTATTTACCCCAAAGATACAAATATAGTGATCCCAAGGGGCACCTGCATCCTAATGTTTATAGCAGCAATGTCCACAATAGCCATACTATGGAAAGAGCCCAGATGTCCAACAACAGAAGAATGGATAAAGAGGATGTGGTGTATATACACATGTATATATACACATGTATATACACATGTATATACACATAAAGAGGATGTGGTGTATATACACAATGGAATATACATTCAGCCATCAAAAAGTGAAATCTTGCCATTTGCAATGACATGGATGGAACCAGAGGGTATTATGCTGAGTGAAATAAGTCAATCAGAGAAAGACAATTATCATATTATCTCACTCATAGTGGAATTTAAGAAACAGGATCACAGGGGAAGGGAGGGAAAAATAAAACAAGACAAAATCAGAGAGGGAGACAAGCCATAAGAGACTCAACCATAGGATACTAACTGAGGGTTGCTGGAGGGGAGGTAGGGGGATGGGGTCACTGGGTGACAAGCATTAAAGAAAGGACATGATGTAATGAGCACTGGGTTTTATAAGACTGATGAATCAATGACTTCTACCTCTGAAACTAGCAATTCAGTATGTTAATTGAATTTAAATTAAAAAAAGATTCTCCCCTCCTCTGCCCCTTCCCTCTCTTAAAAAATTATATTCTTTGCAATAGTATTTTTTTAAAGATTTTATTTATTTTTTTTTTAATTTTTATTTATTTATGATAGTCACACACAGAGAGAGAGAAAGAGGCAGAGACATAGGCAGAGGGAGAAGCAGGCTCCATGCACCGGGAGCCCGATGTGGGACTCGATCCTGGGTCTCCAGGATCGCGCCCTGGGCCAAAGGCAGGCGCCAAACCGCTGCGCCACCCAGGGATCCCAAGATTTTATTTATTTATTCATGAAATACACAGAGAGAGAGGTAGAGACATAGGCAGAGGGAGAAGCAGGCTCCCTGCGGGAACCTGGAATCAGGACCTGAGCCAAAGGCAGACATTCAATCACTGAGCCACCCAGGTGCCCCTACAATAGTATTTAAAAAAAAAATTTTTTTTTTTTAAGTAATCTCTGCACCCAAGACGGGGCTCGAACCCACAATCCCGAGATCAAGAGTTGCACACCCTATGGACTGAGCCAGCCAGGCACCCCAAATTTTCCTTACAATAATCTTTGCATGTGTCCTGTACCATTCAATCATTTTTTCAAATATTTATCAAGCCTATACGGTATACAAGCCTTTGTTCTTGGTCTGGGACATAAGCTGGCTTCAGAAGCAATACATTTTCAAGAACAATAATAACTATATAAAAGACAAGAAAAGCAATTTCTTTTCATTTTCTTTCCTATGTAGCTCATTTTTCCTGTTGGTTTAGAAACACTCTTGCTGAAATTACTCATAGTACGAATAGAACATAGTAAATGGCCAAGTTGTTCTGTAAACTCTTAAGGATGAGAATCCAAGTGCCATGGAAAGTGGACAATTTTGTTCTAGAGCAGAGATCTCCAGGCACCTACACTATTACTACATTTCATTAGACTCTGAAATGATACCACATCTTCACAGCTCTTCTACAGTATCATCATTGTTACATTTTATTTGATCCTTTAGTGCACTGGCTGAGCCTTTTACTCTAAAACCCAAGGATATCCGGCACACTGTGGGCACTCAGGGAAACAAATGTGTACAAATGAGAAGGGCAGGTATCACTTTTGTGAAAAATGCCATGCCAGACTACTCTGTGTAAGCTTACGAAATACTATAGTCAACGTAGTACCAAGGTAGCAGCCCTTCCAAACTCCCTTGGAATGAAATGAAATTGAATTTATTTTGCCACCACATCAATAGTTTGTTCAATTTTGCACAAAAGAATCTTTTTGCAAAGGAAAAATACTGGGTATCATCAATGCCTAAAAGCCTTATGTCTATAGGATAACTGTTACTGGACTTATCCTCACATGTATACATATCATGTTTGGGATTTAGTTTAATAGTACAACTGTGACAGTGACAGATGATAACTGCCCAGATCTGTGCCTTTACTGTGTGCCAAGTAGGATGATAGGCATCACTTAGTTTATGTTTGACCACAAGCTGAGAAGCAGAGATTATGAGGCCCACTCAGACAAGGGAGCTCAGAGAGCTGAAGGCACTAGCCTCAGGTCACACAGTCTCCATCCCTATACTCAGCACTGTATGCAATGATAGCAGGTACTTGGTGCCTGGTGGTTGACACTAATTTTGAGGAGCACGTTTTCCCAAGGTGTCCAGCCCTAGCCTTCAACATCCAGGAGGTACTGAATCCCATGGATGCTCTGAACTCAGAAAGTCAATTAGCTGAGGGCTTCTGTGGTCCAGTGTGACCCCTGACCCCACCAGCCTGCCTGCCCAACACCGGGGGATTGTGCATCTTACCTTTTCTCGGCCCATTCTATGATTGGGTCCCACTCGTTCTTTTGCAGTTCTACTAATGTCGCTGGTTCCTCCACCCTGTAGCTAATTCATTGTAAAAATAACCTTCATTAATAAAAAAGTATAATTTCTTCATTCAGTGACAGACTGAAAAAATATAAAAGGCGAGAGCAGCAAAAAGACTTCTCAACTTCCCCCACCCAGCCCTACAAGTATTTCCCTAAAGCAGTAGATCTCAAAGGGTAGCCACGAGTCCATTGGCAGATCATCCGCCTGGGAACTTGTTAGAAATGCCTGATCCCAGATCCTACCCCAAACCTATGGAAAGCAGAACCTCTGGGGGTGGAGACCAGAAATCTGTGCTTTAACAAGCCCTCCAGGGGATTCTAATGCAAGCCTGAATCGGTGAACCATCATCTTAAATGTCCCCAGTCGTTTGACAGGTCAAGGCTTGTAGATCAATGCCATTCTAATAACCAATACTGCACCCCTAGATCCATACCCACCTGATCCTAGGATGCTGTGCCAGCTCAGTCACTGCATCCCTACCTCCCCTGACCCTCCCCTGTGGCCCCTGGCCACAAATGTCTGTGAGCATCTCATGAGCCCGCATGGCTACAGATACAGCTGCTGGCGTGGATGCCTGATACCACCTGATGCCAGACTGTGCTACTTGTTTTGACCGAGACATAGAAATGGGAGTCACCTATGGAGACTGAGCGCCAAGGCCTCAGTGGATGAGAAGCCAAGTGGGTACCATGGAAAGCCACACTGTGGTGTGAGCAGAAGGAAGAAGGGAGGTCATGGGTGTGCAGGAAAATGGACTACTGAGATGAGTGGGATGTGGGGCAGCTCAGGATTCTAGAGCACCTGGGCCCGCAGACATGTGCTGCTCAACTACGTCTGCTGTTTTTCGAGCCTTCCTTCAATATCACTGACTATTTAGCTAAAGAACATAGACATGTGGGGAGAATTCAGAAGTGGAAGGAGCCAGCTCCTGACATCAACAAGTAACTATCTCTGTGTGCAAGCTGACAAGTGAGGACAATTATGCCTACGTGAGAATGGACAGAAGTCCAAGATTGGAGGCCCCACTGGGGGTGGCCAATTGACCCCATTGGTCCTGGAGCCTGTAAGAGCTGCATATACTACCACCCCACCCCAGCCCTGACCCAGGTACAGTTGTCAGGCTGCAGGAAAGGAGTGCCCAGTGCTCTGACACTGTGGCAGCCTGAGGAGCCTTCTCTCCCAGGGATACACAGGGCAGCTAAGTAGTGATGTCAAGCAGACCGCCTCCCTGCCCTGGGAGATAAAGGAGAAGGGTCTGCCTCTTCTTCCACTGATAACGGTCTGGGAAAATGAGGCAAACAGCCCCAAGGACCCACTCACTGCAAGGGGAATGCCCATCTAAATGTCAATTACCAGATGGTGTCGGTGTCAAGAAACTTCACAGCCGCCCGGATCAGCTGGTCCTTGTTCCTCTGGGTAGGGTTGTCTAAAGATGTGTTGCACAGCGTGGTCTGAATCAAGAGGCAAAAAGCCCTGTCACCACCACTGGGCACAGGCAAAAGCACTGCATTCCAGAGAAATACTGCCTCCAACCCACAGCAACACCCAGAGTGCTGAAGCCAAACCAAAGCCCCTGACCCCAGGCATCTATACCACCTCAGCTGTAGCACATCTACTGAGCGCGTGCAACAGCCAGGCTCTGTGCCAAATGCTGTGTGTGACAGCCCATGGGTCCTAGGGATTCTCATAATGCCTCAATATTAATGAACCGCCCCCAGATTTCATGCTCTCCACTACCAGGCTCTGCTGTATTTCATTTAATCCTCATGACACCCTTTGGAATAGCTACTATTATTACAACCATTTCAGAGATGTAGAAACCGAGGCTCAGAGAGGTCAGTTACTAGACCTAAGCTACCCTTTGGTTTCCTGATTACCGTACAGAGGAGAATGAGCCAAACCAGAAGAAGGCTGACTTTGCCAGCTAGGTTCCTTAGGTACTATGACAATTAGTTAGTATGTCATAGTACAATTAGGTATTATGACAAAAGTAGTCATGTCACGCTAATTTCATCAGACAACCAAAGGAGCAGGCTAGGCTGGTGGCAAGCTATGAAGACGCTGAGGACATCCGCCTGGGTCTGTATGTCAAGGCCAAGCACAGGAATGACCAGGACGACAACTCCGTTTCCAGGGTTGACTGAGTGCTAGCTCTATGCCAAGAACCACGCCAAAGACTTTCCAGGCATCACATCATCCCATCCTGACCACCGTGCTCACCTCTCGCAGATGGAGACACGGGACTGAGAAGGTGACAGTCTGGAGTCTGCAGAGCCTGGACCCGAAGAGTTTAGCCAGCCCCTTCCCCGGCCTGCTTCAGTGCCTCAGTGAGCCACCTGTATGTGGGATGGGGCACCAGCTTCAAGGGCAGCTGTCTCACCTCACCCACCTGGCCCTGTGGGTTCCTGCACTCAACGAATACTGCATGCCATCTGAACCTCGGGCCAGGGCTGGCTATGGACTAGCAAGAGAGATGTGGCCCTGCCCTTCTGTGCTCACAGGGTGGTGGAAGAGACAGACTATGAGCGTGCAAGCATAAAATGGACAAATACAAATTGCATAAGTGCTGGCAAAACAAATGAACAGGTGTCATAAAAGAAAATAAGAGAGCTAGGCGGACAGGGAAGGTGACACCTATCCTGAGACCAGAGGAGGAACCAGCCATCCAGTATGGCGTTCTGAGCAGGGGAACTACAGGGGGCCAAGCCAGGAGCAGAATGGACAGCATGTTCAAGGAGGCAAGTATGGCAGGAGTCCACCCCTGAGGGCCTTATCTGAATTTGGAAAGGAGTTGCAATTTTTGCCAGGTACCCTAGGAAGCCAGCGGCAGGCATCGGGGTATAGGTTCATGAACTTGTTACCAGGTGCATGGTGTAGAACTTGACGGTGTCCTGCTGGGAGTCCCATTCAGTGGCCACTGCAATGGCCAGGGCCTCGCTGGGGACAGTAAAGAGCTTGGCTTGGGGAGTTTTCAGCTTCCTGTGGTCCAGGTTTATCTCAAAGCCACCTTGAAAGATCAGATGAAAACCTCTCAGGGATTGTTAAGTGGAATCGAGTGACCATTCCTATATTTAGCTACTTGAATGGGTACAGACAAAGGCAACTGTGAGTCCCTTCATGGAGGGCTTACAGAAACCCATCCAACAAAAGCGCGAAGGGTAATCTCACCGCTGAAACCGGCTAGAGATGAAAAATGTTTCTATCCATTCACAGAATAAAAAAAGAAAGAAAGAAAAAGAGGCAGTCAAAATTTCAGACACTCACCTTCACCCTGTGTGATGCTGACATTCTGATAAAACCTCTTCCTTTCTGTAAAAGAGATTTTTCAAAAAGGCAGTTTTAAAATAACATTGAGACAGCTCAGGAAGTGACAAGACCAGCTTGTGTCATTACTGCTAATGCTGATTGATTGGCTTGATTTTCATATCACTATTCAAGGTCTGCCTTGCTCTACGCGGCATCAGCAGCAGCTCCTGATTAAAGCTGGGAGGAGGAGGGCATTTGCTCTCCAGGGATGAGGGAGGCCTGGGACACACTGGTCATGCTCCCGTTGGCCCCGGAGCCCAGGCACAGTCTGATCGCAAGGCATCTGGAAGCTGCAGGCCATCTGACACAACAGATTTTTCTAGCATCTTCTGCATTAACTTCTAAGCAGGTTCCCCACCCATACCACCCCCATCAGCACTGCCCCCACGCCAGTACAACGTATGCCAGTTCAAAGATAGTGTCTGAATGTGATAAAGCCAGTGTGGACATGCGTGTACACGTGTGTGGCATATAGGAGGTAAGCAGAAATCCCAGGAGCATCTCTCATCCTCTCTATCCAATTAATTACCCTAATTAGCCAGCATGCCTGTGTATTCAGCAGGAACTCCAAACATTTCCTTTAAGGGGAAAATATGTGTCCTGTGATATCTGAAAATACCCTGACTAAAACCTTAAATGAAAATGGAAACAAATTCCCCCTCTTCTACTTGGAGGGCTTAACACTGAGAGTGCCTCATTAAGAATTATGCAGGTCATAATTATAAAGAACAGGTCACATTTTGAAAGCTAAAGACCATAACCCAGTTATAACATTTGTGATGAACACAAAACCTTGACTCATTCACTTGTTGTTCTGTCACATAATCACTGGGTACTAAAAGCCTTCAGAGTCCCCGATCCAAAGTTACTTGTTGGAAATAATGATGCAACAAGAGGAGGAGGAGGAAGAGGAGATTTAATCATTTTTAATGCTTTAAAAAAAGCCCAAAGAACAAAAACCAAGCTTAAGTTAAAATTAATTCAAGCAGACTATGAAAATCAGGAGAACTTTGTGTGTGGGGGGAAGGCTGGTGGAGGGAGGACGTCTGGTCTCCAAACGTGGTATTTTTAGATTTTCCACATCACATCAGTTTTTTTTTCCACCGATCTCATGCTCTGTCATTGATGCTCTCACAAAGAGGACCACAAATTCCATTTCCACAGCTGTGCTTTACTCAGTGAAGGCCCAAAGTGCTTTTTGACAAAAAGTTGCATGTCTACCATATGCCAAGTACCATTCTAGGTACATGGGATAAAACAGTGAATAAAAATGACAAAAATTGCTGTCTTTATGGAGTTTAAATACTTAAAAAGGTGATAGGATCTGGCCACCAAGATGATGCTGTATTATTATAGTGTGAGTTACTACCTTTATCTGAAATTGTAATAGTGATTCACACATTTGACATCAAAATGGAAACTATACCACCCTGGTGCTTTCGAATGCCCCTAGTTCACATCTGGAGGCCTCTTGGGTCTGTCTGGAGGCCTTGACTGAGGCACTTAGATGACATCCAGTATGTTCTCCAATGCGTGAACTGGGCAACAGGTCTAAAGCAGGAAGTGGGAAGAGCTCTGAAAGCTGACTCATCATCACTGGGAGAAGGATCTGCTCCCATCAGCAGGAAGTGCCAGTGGAGAGCATTCTAGCACATAGCTCGAAGCAGCCCTGGGAAATGGGCCCAAGAGACCTGGTCTCAGGGCAGAAACTGACAGCACAGGCTGAACCTAAAGATGCCAGAGCAGTGAAGTTTCCCACAAGGAAGGTTTTTTTTTTTTTTTTTTTTCCTCTGCTTTGCTGGCCAGGCCTTGGTTCCTCTGTCCTGGCCAGGTCCCCCTCTGTGTCTGATTAAGAAGAAAATACTGAGGGGCGCCTGGGTGGCTCAGTCAGTTAAGTGTCTACCTTCGGCTGAGGTCATGATCTCGGGGTTCTGGAATCAGGCCCTGTGTTGGGCTTCCAGCTCCCACCTCTCCCTTTGCCCCCCCACCTCGTGCACTCTCTCTCTCAAATAAATAGATAAAATATTTTTAAAAATGAAGAAGAAAGAACTGGAAGAGAGTGGGAAAGATAGAAGGGAAAGGATGGGTCAACCAAAATTGCTCAAAACAGCAGTAAACCATGCAGAAAGAGAGGACAGCCCCAGGCCAAAGGAGCACAAAAGTTACAGGGCCCCAGAAGAGGGCAGGCCCACATGCAGCGTTTTTTAGATAGGTGCTCTCCCAAATGCAAAGGACACATGGAGGGGCAAACTTTAGTCTTGGAGCAAACATCGGTGAGTACTAATCCTGTTCCTGGAAGTGGGTTAAGTCCTAGGAATCAGAATCAAAGCTCCCTTATGCCCTCGAGGCACTTCCTGTCTGCTGGGAAGGCAAACACTGAACCAGCCAAACAAAGTAGCTGATGGCCAAAGTATGGGGAATACTGGAAACACACACCAGGAATGACTAATCTCATCATGGGGCAAAGGAAGACCTTCAAGTGGTCAGATTTCATCTGAGACATGGACCAGCAAGAGTCAGCCCATCTGCACTGACGGATTAGTTTTTTGGAGGGAGGTGTGTGTGTAAGGACTTTCTAGCGGAAGAAATAGCTTACACGAAGGTCCTCAGCCTCACGAGAACATAAGAGTTTGGAGAACTGGAAAAAAAAAAAAAAAAAAAGAAAGGTCAGAATGACAAGACTGTCTAGGAGAGGATGGTTAGAGATGCCCAGAGAGGGTGGTGAGGGCCAGATCTGGGGGAGGGGGCTGGTGAGGTCACAGTATGGAGGCAGAGGGAGCCAAGTTAGGGGTTTACAGGCAAACAAGGGCAGGAAAATTCACTTGGTGGAATCCATGCCCCCCAACAATGTTCTTCACCTGGGCCCTCAAACGCCTAGGTTCACAGAAGATAAATCATGAGACCAAGAACCTCTGAAGCACCCGTGTTCGAAATGAACACTAGAGTAGCTGACAGCAACAGGACCCTCATCTTTAACAGCCTAGCCTGCCTTGTAGGGTCACACAGAACTCGGGTCTATTCTGACTACGAGCCGCTCCCTTTACAAAACATGTTTCCGTGGCCACAAGAAAACAGGCTATTTAAGCAGAGAACAACTTAAAAACTCAATCATGTGGTAAATGGTGAATTGGAAATTAATGCCCATCAGGCCCCATTTTCCTATGAGGTCACTTCATAAGAAAAAAGAGACACGATGTTTTCTGTGTCACTTCCCTTACATTCCTCCTCCTGTTTCAGTTGTCACAGACCAGTGAGTGATCTTTCTACCAGCCTCAATTTTCATCTGGCCTTTGCTTTGGAAAGGTTCAAAGCCTCAGAACTACAACTCCCACAGTGCACCAGAACAGAGGAAGTGCCCTCTCAGAGCAGTCTCAACACCTTTATCTTTTTAAACAGTGCCATCTGGCGGACCTTAAGCCTTAAAGCTAAATTTGACTTCAGGCATCTCTCCATCCATAATCCTAGGGCGGCTCCAACCGTTTTCAGGTATCAAAATTCTTCAGACCAACTATTTAAGAACTCTTACAACTCAATGATAAAAAGACAACCCAGTTAAAAACTGGTCAAAGAGGGACGCCTGGGGGCAGCCTGGGTGGCTCAACAGTTTAGCGCCGTCTTCAGTCCAGGGCCTGATCCTGGAGACCTGGGATAGAATCCCACGTTGGGCTCCCTGTGTGGAGCCTGCTTCTCCTTCTGCCTAAGTCTCTGTCTCTCATGAATAAATAAAATCTTTTTTTTTTTTTTAAAGGGACGCCTGGATGGCTTAGTGGTTGAGCATCTGCCTTTGGCTCAGAACATGATCCCAGGGTGCCAGGATCGGGTCCCGCATTGGGTTTTCTGCATGGAGACTGCTTCTCCCTCTGCCTGTGTTGCTGCCTCTGTGTGTCTCTCATGAATAAATAAATAAAAACTTTAAAAAATAAATATAAATCAAAACTGGCCAAAGAATCTGAAGAGATTTCTCCAAAGAAAATATACAAAATAAGCACATGAAAAGATTCTGGATGTCATCATCATCAGGGAAACATAAAACAAAACCAGGAGAAACCACTTCACACCCACTAGGATGGCTATAATAATAATAATAAAACAACCACAGATGATAAGTGTTGGCAAGGATGTGGATAAGCTGGGACCTCCATACACTAGTGGTGGAAATGTAAACTGCTGCAGCCATCTTGGAAAAGTGTGGTAGTTCTTCAAAAAGTCCGTTACCATGTGACCACCAATTCTACTCTTTGATATATTATCTATGAGAAATGAAAACATATGCCCAAACAGAAAACTTATGCCCACATAAAAACTTGTACACAAATGTTTACAGCAGCATTCAGAATAGACAAAAGAGGGAAAACAACCCAACTGTTCATCAGTGGATGAATGGATAAGTAAGATGTGATACAGCCATACAATGGAAAATGACTCAGCTATGAAAAACAACAGAGTACTGATACACGCTAGAACTCAAACCTTGAAAAGACTAAATGTAAAAAAGCCAGCCAGAAAGGCCCACATTCCATTTACGAAATCTCCAAACTAGAGCAATCTACAGACACAGAAAGTAAAACAGTGGTTGTCTAGGGCCAGAGGGATAGGGAGGGAAGTAGGTGAGAGCTAAAGGGTACAGGGCTTCTTTTGGGGTGACAAAATGTTCTAGAACTGTGGTGATGGTTGTACAATGCTGTAAGTATACTAAAAACCGCTGAATTATACACTTTTTAAGTGAATGAATTATAAGTGAATTGAATCTCAATAAAGCTGTTTAAAAAATTCTTCAGGGCAAATGCATCTGCCATAGCAATTAATGTAAATGAGCTAAATAACTAAATCGTTCTTTCCAAATTGCTCTAGCATCATGAGGAGGGGTTGGTCAACTTCTCCCATAAGGAGCCAGAGTAAATATTTTAGGCTTGGCAGTCATATGGTCTCTGTTGCAACTAGTTAACTCTGTAGTTAAAGTAGCCTTAGATTATATATAAATGAATGAGCATGGCTGTGTTCCCATAAAACTTTATTTACAAAAAGAGGTGGCAGGCTGGGCTCTATCTACAGTCTCCCTCAACCTAACACAACCCCTCTATGAAGACAAGCCAAGTAATGCCTCTGAGGTGTTAGAGACTCTGAGAAGCTAAACGACTTGGCCAGGTGACAATCTGTAAACAGAGGAGACAAGACTTCCAGCCTTGACTTCACTGGGTGTTAGTCAGCCAAACATGCAGCCTCTCCAGAACAGCTTCCTCTCTAAACACCTGTTGGATCTCTAACAAATGGTATAGAGCTGGACCACCACATACCCTCAATACAGGTCTCCTTGCTACAAATCTCCAACACCCCAGTTACCCTTTCCCAAACTCCTCCTCTCCTGACAACCTTCAATGGCATGGCCATTCCTAAAGAGCCAAGTTCAATCAGCTTGCCAGTCTTCATGGAGAAGGCCCCCACTTGGGTTTAATATTCCACCATTCCAAAGACTCACAATGGTAATATCTTTGCAGTGCACTTATAGGCCTGGTTTCATGTACCTCCCTCCCACTGGGCTTCATTCTTTCATTCCTAGTCTTTTTCATGTTTGACTACCTACCATGTGCCAGGTACTTCCAAGGGCCTAAACTAGTAAAGTCTGCAGTAGAAAGGAAGCAGAGATGGTAGATCAGGTGCCACCATAATGAGAAGTGGCATCCACTAATCTAAATGAACCCTCTGCCTGTGCCAATTTAAGTGAACTCCTGTACATGTCCCCTTTGCTCATGTTGTATCTTCTTTGAATGTTGTAAAGGAAACTGTTTTCCTTTACACATTCACACAGACACTCTCCACTCCAAATATGTGTCAATCCTGTGACATCAGCTGGGTGTCCTACAATTCAATTAAGTTCTGATAATATCTGCCTGGAGGAGGCATCGAATCCACAAGTGGAGGGCTCAGTTCCACAAGACTGCATTTTCCCACTCCCTTCAGATGCCAACTGCAGGCCCAGGTCGTTTCCGGTGCTTCTGACCAACGGGCTATGAACCAGAGGTTCCCTGGATCCCTCTTCAGGTTTGATGAATTTGCCAGAGCAGCTCGCAGAACTCAGAAAGAGATTTTACCTAGTAGACTACAAGCTTATTATAAAAGGATACAATTCAGGAACAGCCACATGAAGAAATGCAGGGCAAAGTATAGGGAAAGGGTATGGAGCTTCCCTGCCTCTCTGGGCATGCTACTCTTCCAAGCACCTTCATGTGTTCACTAACCCTGAAGCTCTCTGAACCCCCCCAGTTCAGGGATCTTACAGAGGCTTCGTTATAATAAGCATGACTGATTAAATCACAGGCCATTAATCCATCTCTCCAGCCCTTCTCCCCTCTCCCGAGGTCAGAGGGTGGGGCTGAAAGTACCCAACCTCTAACCTTGTGGTTGGTTCCCCTAGCAACCAGCCCCCATCCTCAGGGGCTTTCCAAAAGCCACCTCATTAACATAATCTCAGGTGTGGCTGAAAGCGGTTTATGAATAAGACACTCCTTTCAACTTTCTATCTCTGGAGTTATTTTAAGACAAAAGGCCAAATATTATAACAAAAGCCTCTTCCATAGCTCTTATTGGTTAGTAAATTATGAGAGTTTTAAGAGATGTGTGCCAGGAACTAGACGGGTCGCCAAATATAGACAGTTGACCCTTGAACACCATGGGTTGGCACCGCCAAGAACAGCTTATACCTGGATTTTCTAGAGTATAGCAAACGTTATTTCCTTTTCTTCTTGATCTCTTACTAAAGATTCTAATTTTCTAAATTACGTTTTCTTTTATCTAGCCAACGTAAGAATACTTATGCGTTAGTCGACTGCTATTGGTAAACCTTCTGGCCCAGCAGTAAGTTATTAGTAATTAAGTTTTGGGGGAGTCAAAAGTTATATGTGAATTTTCAATGGTGGGGAGGTGGGAGTGGTGCCTCTACCCTTACGTTGTTGAAGAGTCAACTGTATATGTCTTCTTATAACAATATCACACATGACCTTCCTTCTTCCTCTTTCTTGGCCCTTTGGCTTGGACCCTGACAGGTGAAACCTCAGCTCCTGCTGCATCTAGCTCTCCCCCATGTATAAAAAATTATGAAACTTAACAGAAGGACCTTCAGAGGCAACACAGTCCTTCAACTCAGGGAGGAAAATGAGGCCCAAAGAAAGTAGTCACGTACCCAGGACCACGCAGTATCTCAGAGGGTCAGTCAGCATTAGACCATATAGATCTACTTCTGCCACAATGTCAAACTACCTGTAGAATTCTACATTTTCTTTCTTTTTTTTTTTTTTTTTTGAATTCTACATTTTCTAAAGCAAGCAATGTTAAAGCAAGGTCGCTCGCACCCTGCTGTCACCTCTGAACTTGTTCTGGCCACCCAACACTCTTCCTCCTCCTCTCAACTGAACTCCAACTCATCTGTCAAGGCTCAGCTGAAATGTCCTTTCATCCAAGACCCTTTCTAGACCCTCGGAACCCCCAGATGGGAGTAGGTGCTTCTTTATGTTCTCACAGATTCTTTGTAATTCCTTTATACAAAATATTATACGTTATTGTTCAAAGAGACTATTATAACCTATACTCGACAATGATCATTAGGTAGGGACCACACCTGCCTTGAAGACCATCATGCCTCCAGCTCTCAGCACAGAAAAACTGAATGAAAAGCGTGTTGTTACTCTTTACTCATTTCAAGAAGCGACTCCCACTCTTACTCTAAAACCTCTCCCCAGAAGCAGTGAAGGAGTCACCACCTTCTTGTAGGCCTTATCACTCAGAAGAAGAGAAAGGAGGCACCAGGGTCAACTCCTTAGCAGAAATGGCAGGGATTGTGGTAGGACAGTGGGAGGGAGGGACAGGAAACCCGAAGGGAAATCGGCCAGGAGGTACACTGAATGCCCCGGTTCCAAGACCCTTCTGTGCCCAGGCGTGGGGACAGAGAAAACAGGCCCACCGTTGCCCTCCACAAACTACCCACTGAGCCTGCTCTGTGACCTTGGTGTAGTCCAGATGGAGAACCCGAATCTCCCTGCCTGAAAACGAGAATGCCATCCGCTTTCCTTACTGGAAAGGAAAACCATAAGCTTTAAGAAAGGCTGCCCGTGCCAAACGGCAGTTACTATGTCGTGCAGTGACGCGCTGTGTGCCCTCGGGGGGTCGGGCTGCCCTTGCCTGGGCTTCTATTTTCCCTGATCTGTCGCAGGACCCGATCAAAGCGCGTTACCTCACGAGCCTGAGCTGTGCCTCAGTTACCCCGCCCTGCACAGCTGGAATCCCTCAGCCCACCTTTGCCCCACTCGGGCCCTGGGCGAAAGAGAATGTGCCCTCGCCCTCACCTGTTGGGGGCGCGTAGGCCCGGGCAGGGGCCTGGGGGGTTGGCCCCGGCCCCGCCGGGGCGGCGAGGGCACCCCGGGGCTGGTTCAGGAGGCGGCACCCGGCGTCTCGCAGCCGGAGGCAGCTCCTCCACATCGCGCCTGAGAGCCTTGGGGGGACGAGAGCAGGAAACAGAGCGAAGGGATCCCCTAGCCGCACGCTGGGGTTGTACGGAAACCTCTCACCACCTCCCCAGAGCCCTCAGCCTCCCCCTGGACGCCGCCATCTTCCGCATGACACCATGCGGCGCGCCGTCGCTCCAGCGCGCCTCCTGCGCACACCCCCAGTCAATCAGCATCACAAACGCACCTCGCCCCGCCCCCTCCACGCCGCGCCTCGGGAAGAAGACTACAAGTCCCAGAGGGCGCCTCGCGCGCCCCGCCACGTGTTTTCCCCGCCCGCCAATGGGTGGAAGCGCCGCGTGAGCCTGTTCCCGCCCCCCCGGCGCGCCTGAGCCAATCCAAAGGGTGGTGTGTGTGCGAGGGCAAGTGGGGAGGGGGACTCAGCTCAGGACAGGGAGGCCCTGCTCGCAGGTCCCGGGGTCCCGGTGGCAGCCGGAGCGCTTGGTCCGCAGGCAGCGGGCGGGTGGTCCCCCCTCCGCCCCCACCCCGCGCGTGCGCGCCCCGGCCCCTCCCTCCCTGCCACCCCCCTCGGCTCCCGCGCGGCGGCGGCGGCGGTTCCTCTCCCCCTCCCCCCAGCCCTGGCTCCGGGGGACCCCGCGATGCCGGTCCGCACCGAGTGTCCCCCGCCGGCCGGTGCCTCGGCCGCCTCCGCGGCCTCGCTCATCCCGCCGCCGCCCATCAACACCCAGCAGCCCGGCGTGGCCACCAGCCTGCTCTACAGCGGCTCCAAGTTCCGCGGCCACCAGAAGAGCAAGGGGAACTCGTACGACGTAGAGGTGGTGCTGCAGGTGAGCGCCGGGCCGGGCCGGGCCGGGGCCCGAGGGCCTCCTCGCGGCGCTCACGGGCCGTGCCCGCCCCCGGCTCCTCGAGCCCGCAGCCGCGGACCAGGCCCTCGCCGCCGGGCCTCCGGCACCAGGCGCTTCACCCCCCGGGACCTGCCCAGCTGGTGTCTCACACTCTCCAAGCCCAACCCTGACCTGCCCCTCACACCGGAGCCTGTCGTGAGCAGCTCCTGGCAGACCCTGAACACTCTCCCAGACTCGAAGCCCGTGACCGGCCTGCCTGGGATCCGGAAGCCCCCACCCCACCCCACCCCCGTCACTGGCCACCCTCAGACCTCAGTCCTTCTTCCCCAGGACCTGTCTGTCTCCCGGAGAGCAGCCCTCCCTCCAGTCCCTCCCAGACCCTGAAGAACTCTCCATTGGTCTTTCCTGACTCGGGACCTTACCCTTGGCTGGGCCCACGTCAAATTATCCCAGACCTGAGACAATCCTCCCCTCCCCTTTGCTCAGTCTCAGGGATCCTCAAACCTTGGGGCCCTCCTCCCAGGATTTATTCCTTGGGAGAGTCTAGGCAGTTCCCTCGGACCTGGGAGCACACCTCCTCCGTCAGCCCCTGAGCTTGAGAGCCCCCAACCCACAACTGATTCCTAGCCTTTGGTACTCCCTTAAAACCAGGCACTCACATTCTGGGTGCTGCTGGGTGGAGTTCCTCCTAGTTTGTTGGGATCTTGCCTCCTGCCCCCGCCCCCACTACCCCAGTCTCTTCCTGGCCCAGGCGCCCGCAGCCCCAAGTCCTGCTCTAGGCTTCTCATGGTCCTTACCTCCATTCTCTGGCCACCTCCAGGTCCCAGTTTCCCTGGCCTGTCTACCCATACCTCCCCAACCTATACCTTCATCTTCCTCCCTGGCTCCAGAGGACTCTCTTTCTGCATTCTTAACTTTTATCTACACAGCCAGGGCTTCCTCCTGGTCTCTGATACCCATGTCCTGGGAAATGGAACTCACCCAGTATTTTCTCTCACAGGGTATTTCCTTGCTGCCTGTATACCTCCCCCCTCACCTCTCCTCCCCCCCAGTTTGACCTGGATTTCTAAGTACCTGCTGCTAGCCCCTGATAGCTTTGGAGTTACAGCTTTCCCTACTCTGGCCATTTTCTGCACCTCACCCCTCTCGGGCAAATAGTAACACACTTGACATTTTTTCCTAGCCAGAGATCAACAGTAGTTGATAATCCTTTTTCTCTCCTTTCCCCACAAAACCATTCCTGTGTAGCTACCCCTGCCTGCCCCAGGACCGACCCATTTTTCTCCTCCCTTTGCCTTTTTATCCCTTAGCCTGATGCCCCACCTTCTAGGTTCTTCCCCAAAGCCTTTCCCCATCTGCCTCCTTGAAAGGCTTTACAGAAGCTCTGAAGACCAGTGTGCCACCTTACCGCTCCCATGTGTGAGGATAGGAACGCGAGATATGTCTTTGCCTTATGTGCCTGCGGCTCTTTAAAACTGTTAAATCTTGAACAGCCTCTCTTCTGAGCAAGTAGATCTACCCAAAAGACGATGGGGATTCATTTTCTTTTCTGCTAACAGCAGAGCATCATTAGCCTCTTTTTTTCTTACTGTTTTGCCGGAATCAATAGTTTGATCTTTTTTCGGTTGGGAAAAACTGCATCTTTGTGTTAATTGTATCTTTGGCCTATAAACCTCACTTTCTCTCATGAGCCACGGTATTTATTAAAAGTGGAAAACTATTGTGACTGATTCATTTGGCTCATAATTATATGCATAATGTGGTGATACCTCTTCTCTTACTTAAAATGTGAGAATTTAGTGTGAAGGAAACCCCCCCCTTTTTTGGCAACAAATCATTAAATTCTGGAGGTGAGATCCTTGGTGGGGGTCATGTTTGGAATGATCTTGAATTTGTGCCCATTGTGTAATTTGATGGTTTCTGATGTGGTAGGGGATTCCTGCCAGGGTCACTAAGTGTCAAAGGGAAGTCATCTTTGGTTTCATCAGCACCCCCCCACACCCCGTGTTTTGTCATTGGTGTGTTGTTTCTGAAGTCTTGTCAGCTGGCCATTTCCTTGTGAACCAATAGAAGTGGTGATTGAGCTGGTGCATGATTGATCTCAGGGTAGCCCAGAGCAGAAACCTGGCTGATGGCTTGAAGCCACTTCAGGAGGATGTCTGATGGTGGGAGGTGGGAGCCACGGTCATGCCCAGGAATGCTGCCCTACATCTGGATTGGTGAGCTGTTTGTCCATCATTGAGACAGTGGCATGTAAATTGCCCCATTGTTGCCCTGGTTTTTCAGCCAGGACTAGTTTCTTGGATTCATCCTTCTTAGAATACTTATGCCTTTTATACCTCAGCCTCTTTCCTGCTTCTTTTTTTCTTTCTTTTTTTATAACAGCTGTATTGAGATATAATTCATGTACCATACAATTCACCCATCTAAGGTGTTTTTAATGTATTTACAGAGTTCAGTAGCATAACTGCAATCTAATTTTAGCACACTTTCATCACCCCAAAGAGGAGACCTACCCCTTAGCTATCACCCTCTCAACTCTAGGCAACTACTAAATTTATTTTCCTTAAGATTGGCTTATTCTGGCCACTTCATATAAAGGGAATAATACAATATGTGACCTTTTGTGTCTAGCTTCTGTCACTGAGCATCATGTTTCCAAGGTTTGCCATGACACATGCCATAGCATGTATCAGTGCTTCGATATTTTTTGTTGTTGCATAATAATCCATTGTATGGATATACAGCATTTTATTTATTTGATGCATTTATTTGAGCATTTGATGAATATTTGGGTGGTTTCCACTTTTTGGCTATCGCGAGTAACAAAGCCGTGAACATTCCTGTATGAGCTTTTATGTGGACACGTCTTCATTTCTCTTGGGTACATACCTAGGAGTGGAATGCTGGGTCTCATGGCAACTCTATGTTTACCATTTTGAGGAACTGCCAGACCAGTTTCCAAAGTGCCTACCCCATTTTTCACTCCCACCAGCAGTATATGAGGGTTCCAGTTTCTCCACAGCTTTGTTGACAATTGAACATTATCATCCATCACTTTGATTGTAGTCATGCTAGTGGGTGTGAAGCAGTTTCTCATTGTGGTTTTGATTGGAATCTCCTTAATGACTAATGACGTTGCACATCTTTTTGTGGGCTTTTTGGAGCACTTTCTTTTTTTGAAATTCCAGCTTAGAGTTCCCCAAACCTTTGTGAGATTCCGGCTGGGCTTCCCTTGTTACTCTTGTTACTGTAACTACTCTGTTTCTCCTCTGCCATCCATGGAGCCAAGACTAGAGTGAAGGCCAGGGTCACTGTGAAGGGGTACTAGAAAGAGCAGCTGTTGGACACAGCTGTGCTGTGAGACTTCCTTGCTCAACATTTGCCTTGTTTTCTTTCTCATCGAGATGCTGGCCTGGCTTTCAGTTAAAGTTCTCTGCATTGTAGTCTATTGAGTTTACAGACCGTCATCAAGAGCAGTTTGGGCAGAATGAGAGACACACATGGTTGAATGGAGGCCAAATTGAAATCCTGATTCTTGAGCATGTGATAATCTATACAAAATGTTCGCCAACTTCCAGTTTAGTTTTTAATCTTATTAGCAGGTATCCTGGCCACCTGATACCTTTTCCAGCAGCTGTGAAACCCCAAACTATATTGAATTCAGTGAGAATTGCATACCTGGAATTTAAGGCCTCAGGTTAGAGCTGTGTGTCTTTTAATAAAAGTTCTTTGCTGAACCATGTTAGTGCAGATTAGCCACTCTAGATAACATCCAATGTCAAGGCCAGCAGATGAGGATATTTGAAATGCTTTGGCGGTTTTTACATGGAGTACCTTTGTCACCAGCACCAAACTGTAGGAGCATTTCAGCTTCACTGAAGCCCATTTGCCTTGGTGCTGACCTCATCTGGCTGACTGTGTTCATTACAGTTTTTAAGGATTGCCATAGCATTTGATTGATGATGTAAATGAAAGTAGTTAAGCCCCCAAATCTGATTAATACCACAAAACTTTCCTAGCTGCTTAAAATGAGATCTCACTTAACATTAAAATCTCAATGTACCACGGTACCATTGTACTTTGGTTTGCTCTCATTCCAGGGGTTTGCTTTGTAAGTGAGCTCAATTACTATGAAATCTGAAAATCTATGCAGGATCCATCTGTATAGATTTGGGTGAAATGTAGTAGTTCGGGTGCACTCAGCTGCAAGTAACTATACCACTTCAAAATAGTTTAAAGAATGAGTGAACCCAGCATCTCAGATTACAAGAAACTTGGAGGTGGCTTGGTTCCAGATTGGCTCATTCATGGGCCCATTTCCTTCCATGTTTCTCTGCTGCCATCCTTGGCATTTCCTGACCTGTTTATCCTCATGGTCTCTAGATGGCTGCCATGGGACTGGGCACTGTGTGCAGATACTGCCACCGCCAGGGAAAGAAAGAGAGCCTCATCGAAAGTCAGCATCTTTCCCAGAAACACCCAGGAGACTTACACACATATCTGATTGGTCAGAACTGTGTCACTCACCCCTAAACCAATAACTCACAAGGGGAAAGGGCACATGTTTGCCTTAGACTCATCAGGGCTGACCAGGTCTAGTGAGGGCAGAGTGGGTACCAGAACAGGATCTGGGCCCTAGCAGCATGGAAAAGTAGGAAATTGGTTGCTGGGTAGGTACTCAGCAGTGTCTCAGCAATCCATAATTGGTGGATACAAAGCCTCAGAATCTCCCATGCCTGTTACCCCTGCTTATTTTAGCCTTCTAATTCTTACATCAAGAAATAGAAGCATTGGTATGTAAAATGGGAAGAGGGGGCATTTATGATGTGTTCTGATCTGGGGTCAGCATTTTTGTTCATAACTGAAATCTTTGCCAGAGCAGTCTTCATAAGATGCCTTTCCTGAATATGCTGCCCAATTCATAAAGAAATAATGCAGGATTGTGCCTAGTGTAAATGTTGGGGAAAAGTATACTTCTTGGACCAGTGGGAGACCTGTATTGAGTGGGCTCGCTGTTCCAGAAAGGCACTTTGGTCTCAAGATACTCAGCTGAAGGAGGTTGAGAGGGTCCTGAGATCAGATTGCTTCATCTGAACAGGCCCGTGGGGAGGGAGGACTCACGGAGATCTCAAAGCCGGTGAGCCCTGGCTGTGCTCAGCGGGCACCAACCTCCTGGCCTCCCTTACCCCACCTGGCCTCAAAGTAGTGCCTCTGACCGCCAGATGCATAGATTTCCACAGCACCCCCAGCTTGTCGCCCAGTGGTTCCTCTGTTTGTAATAAGACTGTGTGTCCTTTCTTTCCAGCATGTGGACACGGGGAACTCTTACCTTTGTGGGTACCTGAAGATAAAAGGTCTTACTGAGGTAAGCACTCCTTCCCATGAACTAGAACCAGACAGTGGGCTGCACGCGGGGCATTCTCAGGGTGTAAAGGGCCAGCCTTGTTGACCCTGAGGCCCAATTAAAGCGCCCTGTGAAATGTTGTTATTGTACCACACACACGAAGCATGCAGTTTTGATGTGTCCTGTTGGAAAGTATACAGATGCACAAATCTTTAAAGTTTATAAATAAGTCACAGTGTTCCCAACACTATTGATTTTACTTTTAATCCTCGGTGGAAAAGAAAAATAGAGTAGGAATATGGCTACCCGTTGTCATAAGTTTAATGGTTTCTGAGATAAGCATTAAACCTTCCAGACCCAAGGTCTTTGGCATTCCTTATACCCCTGAGCTCACTGGAACAATGAAAAGTGATCATCCAGTTTCTAACAGACATAGCTGCTATGGAAATGTAGAGTGTTTTCCTTTCTTTGAACCAACTTTTTAAATCGCAGAACTCCTGGGAATATGGAAAGCAAGAGCGAGCATCCTTTCTTTCCTTGCTAGTGAGTAAACAGGAAGAGGAAGGATGGGACTGAGCTGGCCGCCTAACTCCACCGTGAGAGCCTGGGCTTGACCTAGCTGCAGTGCCCTGTTGGCCTGATCAGCCTTCACTGTCTCGATGGCCCAGTTCCATGGAGCCATGGAAAGGGCTAGAGTGACATCCTTGATCTGCCCCTTATTGGTGCTTTCATTTCTCTTTCCTCATCTGTAAATGAGAATGAAAAATACCTGATACATGTAGTGAGCACAGCACAACACATAGCGTTGCCGAATCACTATGTTGTACACCTGAAACTCATGTAATGGTGTGTGGGTCAGCTCTACTTGGATAATAATTAAAGTAAAATAAACCTGTGCTGTCTACTCCAGGCACCTGTCCTAGACAGGGAGGAAACAATGTAAGAGCAAGAGGCAGACTCTAATATGATACAAATCAAGGCATCCTAAGGCATTTATCATCCTCCGTCTTGAAACAATTGTTTCCCTCTCTTTGATTCCCTCTGGTTCTCCCACTTCTCTATATTAGAAGCTTGAGAGTTTCCTAGTTTGTTGAGATGAAAAGGCAACCTGTTCCTCACCTCTAGAAACTTAGCCCATCGAGTTAGGGGAAGAAAATGTAAGCAAAATGAAGGATTCCAGCCTTTGAATTTGCGGTAGTAGAAAATAAACAGAATATACTCAACTCATAGGCAGCCAGATGCATTTACTGAGTGCAGAACATAAACATTTAGCTTCATAAGGAAACTAACAAATTCTGTCCTGTGGAATGCTACCACTGACTCTAAAACTAGCCACTCTGGCAATAGGAAGCTGCATGAAAATGGTAAGTAGCATTAAGAATCCCCAAATGACGTCCAGCATCCAGAACTTCTGCAAAGTTTCATCAGGAGCAAGTAATCCTACCAGGCAGAAGCTCCTCTGAGTCACAAGCTGCCAGGCTCCCTGAGGAAGGGTGGGGGGCTCTTAGGTTCATGACTAGAATGAGGAGACCACCCTCCTGGCCAGTCGTTCCTGTCTGCGCATGGCTGCCCCAGACTGGTCTGCTCCGCGATGAGCAGCAGGCTCAGGTATGGTGTTTTTGTTTTGTTTTGTTTTGTTTTGTTTTTAAGATTTTATTTATTTATTCATGAGAGAGAGAGGCAGAGACACAGGCAGAGGGAGAAGCAGGCTCCCTGCAGGGAACCTGATGTGGAGCTTGATCCCAGGACCCTGGGATCACGACCTGAGCCAAAGGCAGACGCTCAACCACTGAGCCACCTAGGTGCCCCTAGCAATGGTACATTTAATCTAAAGGAGGCTGTGTTTCTGAGCTTCCTAGGGCCTGCTCACTCCTCAAGATTCTTTGAATTTTATCTTTTTTAGCCACCTTTTTTAGTAGCTGTCCTGAGATAGTTGACATACTATACAATCCACCCATTTAATATGTACAATTCGTTGGCTTTTAGTGCAGTCATGGCACTGAACAACTGTCTTAAACACTTTTTAAATTCTAAATCCGACATGTGGGCACTGTACAGTCACTAAAATGCCAAAAAGAGTGATGATTCTCTGAATGACCTTGTTATCTATGTTATAAAATACAGCTGTTCGGGATCCCTGGGTGGCTCAAGGTGTGATCCCGGAGTCGCAGGATCGAGTCCCACATCGGGCTTCCTGCGTGGAGCCTGCTTCTCCCTCTGCTTATGTCTCTACCTCTGTCTGTGTGTGTGTGTGTGTGTGTGTGTGTGACTCATGAATCAATAAATGGAATTTTAAAAAAATAAAAAATAAAATACAGCTATTTGTGCTTATTTGCTTTTCCGTGTTTAGTTGTGAAAACATCACATGTGATTTATTTTAATAAAACCATTTAAATGGTTGGGTTTTAGCCCTAGTCTCCCTCGTGCAGACAGTATAGAAAATGAACTATTAAATTGGAGGTCATTTGTCTCTTGGCTACCTCACATTCACAAATGAGCACAGTTTTTAGAGTTTATTTGCCTTATGGAAATGAAATCTCAAAAGAGTTGTGAAGAATGGGTGTCAGGTAACATTTCCTTTGCAGTTCTGAGGCAGCCACCGATGGAGAGAAGGGTCATTTCTAGGGAGGCCCTGCAGCTGGCAGAGGGCCTAGGAGCCCAGCCTTTAGGGAGTCATGGCCAGACTCCACTCACTCACTAGATTGATTTGGAAGCTTCTGCCAAGCTTCTGGGGGACCTGTCTGAATCAAGGAGATAGGTCACACTAACCAAACTCACCGAGACTGATGTATACACAGGAGGGCTCGTTTGCTCGTTTCTAAACTGAGGCACATGCATGTTCCAGAAGTTCCCTCTGACTCAGTAGCCAATTGGTGTTAATCCCTCATGAGGTGGGTCTACCTGGAAAACCAGACCCATCAAGCCAGCGAGCTTTGGTGGGCCTAGAATCCTTGTGAGGAGTGGTTTGACCACCTAAATGCCTGCTAGTATAGGTAGACCTGCCTGTAGGAAGCCCTTGCCTGCTTTCGAGATGGAGGGTTGCTGCTCCATCTCTTCCTATCTGATTCGTATTTTTGATGTTCCTCCCACAGACAGAATTTTCCCTTTGGCTCTAAAAATTACTGCCAGTTTGCCTGTAGCCAAGTGCTTGAATTTCCTCGTCCTGCCCTGAGAGATATTTCATCTTTGGTAACTACTGTACCTAATTGATGCTCATTCATCAGGCAATATTTATTTTATTTTAAATCTCAGAGTTTGGGGGTACTCTGCAGTCACCTTGATATGTTGCCTGAAACATTTTCAACGCAGAAACAATTTATTAGGAAAATTGCAATTTGAACCATAAGTATTTTCTTTGTATCATAATCACTTTATCATTTTCTTCCTTTATCTCTTTATTGTGGAAGTTTTAAAAATATATTAAAGCTCAAACTTCAGAAAAATCAATATGTACAGCTTTCCATTTAAAATCTCAAGCCAGGGGATCCCTGGGTGGCACAGCGGTTTGGAGCCTGCCTTTGGCCCAGGGCGTGATCCTGGAGACCCAGGATTGAATCCCACGTCGGGCTCCCAGTGCATGGAGCCTGCTTCTCCCTTTGCCTGTGTCTCTGCCCCTCTCTCTCTCTCTCTCTCTCTCTGTGTGTGTGTGACTATCATAAATAAATAAAAATTAAAAAAAGAAATAAAATCTCAAGCCAGGAGCCGCCTGGGTGGCTCAGTCGGTTAATCATGTGCCCTTGGCTCAGGTCATTATCTCTGTTGGGGTCCTGGGATCAAGCCCAGAGTGGAGATCCCTGCGCAGAGAGTTGGCTCCTTTCTTTCCCTGTGTGTGCATATGCACTCACTCTCTCTCTCTCTCTTAAATAAATGAATAAAATCTTTTAAAGATAAATAAAATCTCAAGTTGATGCTAATATAGAACTTTCTCCATTAGTAATTCTTCCTAAAACAGATGAGTATAATTTAGTTTATACCTTTATTTTATTTTATTTTATTTTATTTTTTAAAGATTTTATATGAGAAGGAGGGAGAGAGAGAGAGAAAGAGCACAAGCGAGCATATGAATGGGGGGAGGGACAGAGGGAGAAGCAGACTCCAAGCTGAGCAGGGAGCCCTATGCGGGACCGGATCACAAGACTGCGTGATCATGATCTGAGCCAAAAGCACACACTTAACCGATTGAGCCACCCAGACACCCCTATTTTATTTTATTTTATTTTATTTAGATTTTATTTTTAAGTAATCTCTACACCCCAACATGGGGCTTGGACTCATGAGTCATGTTCTACGGACTGAGCCAGCCGGATGCCCCTAGTTTATAGCTTTAAAATCAAGTCTCCATTTAGGAAATCTCCCCCCTTTAATTTCTTCACTCTGTATACATAAATATCTGTACAAGGAACCCAGGCCCCTTGTTGGGGAAGGGGTTGTGGTTTGGTGGGAAGGGTGCTGTGTATTTTAGAGTTCACTGTCAAGACAACAGACAGCCTTAGTGGTGTGTAGTGAAGCAGGCTCCTTCAGTCCACTATGGTGCCAGTAACTGTGCTGTTTCCCGGGAGCTGCTGAATCAGTGCGGTGGTGTCTCTTAGGGACATCCCCAGCTACGTGGCAGGTCAAGCTGAGAGAAGTAGCAAAGCCATCAGAGCAGATTTATTTTAAACACGGGTAGGTGTTTGATGCAGAATAAGAGGGGCTTATGTAGTACCTGAAGAAGAAAGTGTGACCTCTGTGGTCCCAGGGACATTAGCACTGTAATTTATGGTTTGCCAGGCCTGTGACCATCATTACCATGCTTCCAGGCAATACCAGGGGCTGGAAGGCTGGACTGAGGGTTTGTTTGATTGGTTGGTCAGTTAGTTGGTTTTTTACAAATGCAAAAAAAATGGAGACCTCTTACAATGTTAACTTTTTCTTCCATTAGTTCCCGTCCCCCCCCCCCCAGAAATCTTGGGTGCCTCCTTATCAGTAGATGAACAAGTAGCAAATAAAATTGACAAGTGTTTTAAGCACCCAATTAGGATGACAGCTTATTTTTCCCCCTATAGCATTTGGTTCTGCTGTTGTGATTTTCCATCACAGACATGATTCACATATATTTTCCATAGTATAGATAGTATAGATTGCCTTAGTTCATATGGTTAAATTAAAGGTACCTAATATATCAAGGTATTCTGCAAAAAAAACAAAAACAACCCACCCCTGGAAACGTGAAAAATGGGCACAAAAGGGACAAATGACTGAACTGGTTTGAGAACCACGGGCCAGATCATGGCATGAGGGAGACTTGGCTGTGAATGTTGTGATTTTGTAGCCTCTTTGAGTGTTTTCCTTAGAAAGTAACATCTACTTAGTTACTACCTGCTTTGTATCCTAGAATACTCAGAATTTACTTGTCCAATTTCTTTCTTGAGTAATCAGTACATAGCAAGTGAAGTCATAGAAGGGTTTTGACAAAGTCCAAGAGACTCTCTGGGCACCTCCAATTCAGGTCAAATCCGCAGCCATTGGCAGATCACTGGACCTAACTCCATTTGGGTCATTGCTTAGCAGTGTGATCATTTTTTCAAAGTCCTGGGAAAAAGTTAAAGCAAGGTTGATTTTTCCTTTAAGAAAGGTCAAAACTCCTATTTAACATCTTATTTTGATATCTGGGTTTTTACCATAGGAGTATCCAACCCTTACAACCTTCTTTGAAGGAGAAATAATCAGCAAAAAACACCCTTTCTTAACACGGAAGTGGGATGCAGATGAAGACGTTGATCGGAAACACTGGGTGAGTAGATATTTGGTCTGCTCCAGGCTACCCAGGTGTTGCTGAGGAGCCAAGGAACTTAGCTCTTGGGGTCTCCTTACTGTCCTGAGCTTTAGGGGTCTCCTCACTGTCCCCCTGTCCTGTCCACTGTTCTTTTCTCATCTCCTCTATATGGGGGAACCCTGTGAAACATACAGCTATGGCCTCTGTCTTTAGGGTTGCCATGAGGTAGAGATGCAGTTTCTGGAAAGCTGCTTCTCCTGCCAGCATCTCTGTGTTGGGAGAGCCAGGGGGGCTGCCCACTCAACTCCTGACCGACAAACACAGTCTCAACTTAAGCATCATCAGGATGCCACTGAGAACTCCAGTCCTCCCACTTTTACCTATGAAGTGTGGACTGTATTCTCACTCACCAGTAGTGAACACTTTGAGACAACTTAGAGATGCTATCCTCAAGTCATTTCATTGGCTTTCACACGAGTTTATGTTTTCAAAAATCCATTTCTCAAGCTGCCATAATAGTTTTCTGGTGTAGTTGGCCATGGCAATGATGAATTTTGGCTTTATTTTATTTTTTTAGTTGCTTTTTAAAAAGATTTATTTGAAAGAGAAAGAGAGAGAAAGTGAACACACAGAGGGAGAGGGAGAATCAGACTCCCCACTGTAGAGAGCCCAATGCAGGGGCTCAATCCCAGGACCCGAGATCATGACCTGAGCCAAAGGCAGACGCTTGACCAACTGAGACACCCAGGTGCCCCAGTTCTTTAGTTTTTTTGAGATTTTGTTTTTAAATAATCTCTGCCCCCAATATGGGGCTCAAACCTACAGCACTGAGATCAAGAGTTGCCTGCTCCACTGACTGAGACTGCCAGGCACCCCAATGAATTTTGGTGTAACACCGAGGAAGTCCAATGTGCTAACCCTCTAAACCCACCTAGACTCTAGAACTCCTCATGCTTCCCCCTGCCACTCTCACCTGGCTGTTCAAGCTCTCTCCTGATTCTGGTAGTAGTCCTTGGAGAGAACTCCCTACCACAGACCCTCGTCTTACTTAACTTCACTGAAGATTAGCCACTTTGCTTCTTCATATTTTCTACTTGAGATAGGGAAGGAACATCTTTCAAATGCTAAGTTTCAATTAAATTTAAACTTGAGTTTTTAAAACCATTTTTTGAAAGCTACGTGTTTTGCCAATTGTATCAAATGGACACTGAAAGGAAGTCATTTGTGCGTGTATAATATGAGGGAATGAACAAGGTCTGAATCTCTTAGGATACTCAGTTGGGAAACCTGAGGGGAGCCTGAGCGGTGTATAGTGGTGCTGGTATCAGAAAGCAGAGTTGGGAGGCACCTGGGTGGCTCTGCCAGTTATGTGTCTACCTTTGGCTCAGGTCATGATCCAGGGGTTGGGATCAGGGAGCCTGTTTCTGCCTGTCCCCCTGCTTGTGCTCTCTTACCCTCTCTCACTTATGTTCTTTCTCAAATAAAATCTTTAAAAATTGAAAAAAAAATTTTTTTTTTAAAAGGAAAGCAAGCAGAGTTGAAGGGCTCCCAGCTGCCATCTGGTCCATCCTGCCCAATGTTGGCTCTTCCCGCACAGCTCGGTTCTGCAAAAAAAAAGCAGGGTCTTTGAGACTCAATGAAAAGTCAATTCTAAGCTAGATTTGCTGCAAATTAAATACCTGGAAACCAACTGTTCGTTTTCCATACTTCCCTAAGAACACTGGGAAATAGCTGGATCTCCTCTGTTAGGCTGAACTGAAATATTTTGAGTGACAGCAGGACAAGGAAGGCCACCCTTGATGTGGTAGGATGAAGAGCTGGGCTTCTGGGCCCTTCCTCACCTAGCAATCCAGTCACCTTCGCAGAACTCAGCTTCTCATAACTTTCCCAGCCCACTCCAGAGCCCCAGAATCCCATGTGGGGCTCCTGGAGCTCTATATTACAGGAAACATCTCTACAGGAGCTCATGGGTGACCAGGTGCATTGTTAATGAGTAATAATATTTGAAAAGAATCTTTTATTCTGAGAAGTAGGTCTCAATGTTGGGCTTGAAGTATTCAGTCAACCATGTTATAAACAGATATGCTGTCATCCAGGCATTTATAGAGAAAGGGCAGAGTAAATTTAGCGTAATTCTTATGGGTCCTAAGATTTTCAGAATAATAAATGAGCATTGGCTTCAACTTCAAGTCACCAGCTGCATGAGCCTCAGCAGGAGAGTCAGCCTGACCTTTGAAGCTTTGAAGCCGGGCATTGACTTCTCCTCTCCAGCTATGGAAGTTCTAGATGGCATTTTCTTCCAAAAGAAGGCTGTTTCATCTATATTGAAAATCTGTTGTTGAGTGCAGCCACCTTCATTCGTTATCTGAGCTCCATCTTCTGGAGAACTTGCTGCAGCTTCTGCATCAGCACTTGCTGCTTGGCTTTTCACTTTGATGGTATGGAGACGGCTTCTTTCCTTCAACCTCTGGAACCAACCTCTGCTAGCTTCAGACTTTTCTCCTGCAGCTTCCTCACCTCCCAGCCTTCACAGAAGGGAAGGGAGTCAGGGCCTGGCTCTGGGTTAGGCTTTGGCTTCAGGGAGTGTTGGGGTTGGTTTGGCCTTCTCTCCAGAACACTAAACCTTTCTCCACATCCAAGACTGCTTTGTTCTCATCTGTGTGCTCCCTGGAGTGGCACTTACCCTTTCCTTCAAGAACTTCTCCTCTGCCTTCCCAGCTTGGCTGTTTGGTGCGAGAGGCCTCGCTTTCAGCCTGTCTCAGCTTCTGAGATGCCTACCTCACTAAGCTCAATCATCTCTAGCTTTTGGTTTCAGGGGTGAGAGACATGTGACTCCTCCTTTCACTTCAACCTGTCGAAGCCATGGTAGGGATATTAATTGGCCTCATTTCAATATTGTGTCCCAGCGACTAGAAAGGCCCAAAAGAGAAGGTGAGAGGTGGGGGATGGCCAGTCAGTGGAACAGTCAGAATACATACAATATTTAGCAATGAACTTTGCTGTCTTATATGGGTGCAGTCTGTGGCATCCCAAAACAATTATGTTAGTAACATCAAGGATCACTGATCACAGATCACCATAACATATATAATTATAATGGAAGAGTTTGAAATGTTGTAAGGATTACCAAAATGGGACACAGAGACACGAGGTGAGCCGATGCTGTTGGAAAAATGGTGCCAATCGACTTAACTTGACACAGGGTTGCCCCGAACCTTCAGTTTATAAAAAAAATTCAATATCTGGAGGTACCTGGGTTGGTTAAGCATCCAACTCTTGGTTTTTGCTCAGGTTGTGATCTCAGGGTCCTGAGCTCCAGCCTCATTGGGCTTCATGCTCAGCGTGGAGTCTGTTCTCTCCCTCTCCCCCCGCCTTCCCCCAAATAAATAAATAAATCTTTTTAAAAACTGCAATATCTGCAAAGAGCAATAAAGTGACACACAATAAGACCAGGACTGCCTATAATTTAGAATCAGGGACATTGTTTTTCACTCTCAAGTTTTCCTGAGTGATATTTAAAGTTGGTATCACGGTGGTACCCTAAGTCAAGATTCCATATACTTAATCCATTTAGAATAGAAATATGTGTGACAAATTCTATGAGTTAATACCTCTGCACCTTAAATTTTATTTAAGATACTTTTTAATAAAATTAATATACTTTTTAAATATTTGAGTAAACAGAAGAGCAAAAGGAAAAAATTATATATAATAACAATACCCAAAGTTAAAACAGGTATTAACCTTTTTTTTTTTTTTCCATTTTCAAAAATAGGATCATGAGGCACAGTTTTATAACCTATTTCTGGTCTCCTTTTTAAAAAGAAATTAATAGGGCAGCCCGGTGGCTCAGCGGTTTAGCGCCGCCTTCAGCCCAGGGCCTGATCCTGGGGTCCCGGGATCGAGCCCCACGTTGGGCTCCCTGCATGGAGCTTGCTTCTACCTCTACCTCTGCCTGTGTCTCTGCCTCTCTCTCTCTCTCTCTCTCTCTCTCTCTCTCTCTCTCTTCTCATGAATAAATAAAATATTTTTAAAAAAGAAAAGAAATTAATTATATATTACCCACTTCCTGTTTCTACTGACTGGCCCTAAGCCACAATACTATGTAAGGGCCACTGACTGGCCCTAAGCCAGTACATATACTATGTAAGAGGACCCAGCTTTAGTAAAGCCCTCTCATCCTTTTGTGTTGATTCACATATAAATATCTCACTGATCATTCCTGGCTTTGCTTGTGGTCAGGTGTCCTGAGACAAGGCCCCCGGAATAGCATCCATTCCCAACCTGGGGCCTTTCTCCAGACCACATTGACTTGGTAGGTATAGCCCTGTGGTGCCTCATTTGGAGTCCAGGTCTGATTTCACAGCCCAGTGGAAACCTCAAGCTCCCTTCCTCCAATGCTCAGCCTTTACTGCTCCTGTGGGCCGCATCCAGCAGCTGTCACCTCTTTGCGAAGGTGGTTGCTGCTGGGCACAGAAGAAGGGCAGCTCTGATACCAACCTTTCCCTCCCTTGATCAGTTCTCATGCTTTATTTTTTGCTTTCAGGGCAAGTTTCTGGCTTTTTATCAGTATGCAAAATCATTTAATTCAGATGACTTTGATTATGAAGAGCTGAAGAATGGGGATTATGTCTTCATGAGGTGGAAGGTAAGGTCCCGGCCCAGGTGGTCTTCTGGCTACGCCAGTGCCTGCCTTATATCCCTGCCCCACCTGCTTTCCGTGCCCAGTGCTCATTACAGCTTGTCTCCATGTAGCGCCTTCACACACTTGTAAAAAGCCGGCACAGCTCCAGGCCACAGTGGCAAATTGCTGCCATGCCATACGGTTTCTGTTTGGAGAAACTGGTGGATAGCAGAGGAATTGGTGGCTGAGGGCGGGTGGTCACTGTCGGCACCTCTGACTCTCCATGTTGAGTCATCTCCAGTGTTCTGTGGACTCAGAAGAGAACCAGAGTCAGTCACTGTCATTTCCTACTCTCAGCCACGGGCTGAGGCCCCATGTGAGTGACTGTTCGTGCAGCATGTCTTAGCCAAGGCTCCCTGCTTGTCTGGTTCCCTCCAGCAGGAAATGAGGGACCAGGAATGGAATTTGCGTTTTCCACTCACCAGCCCTCAAAGAGCTCCATCTGGCTGGACTCGCTAGAGTGGCTTTGGGCTGACAAGTCTTTTGTGTTTCCCTATTTTGATAGCCTGGTATTTGCTGTGTTGCAGCCGCAGGCTAGCAAAATCGTGAAGCAGGTTTGTGAAATCATTTTGTGAATGGACACCCACTTCCAAGCCCTGGTTCCCTAGTTGGCAGGAAAAAGCTGTTTTATCTTGAAATCTTGCCAGCTTTCATACAGACGAATCATTTAGAGTAGTTATTCCTAGTCTTTTGTTTGTATGGCTAATAACTTGGGGAGGAGTGTGGGGGTCATCACTTATTTGCTGAGACATTGGCCAGGTACAGGAAGTAAGAGCTGAGTCCCGCCCTTGAGAGCTTGCCATCTACTGGGAAATGTGCCAGCTAATAAAGCCCTAAAGGAAGTATTCTCGCAAGCTTCTAACTTTAAAATTAGTTTTAAAAACTACAATTTCAAAGGTTGAGGAAAGGGACAGAGTGTTTAAAAAAAAAAAAAAAAAAACCAGTGGAGTTGTTTGGCCTCCAAAGACCTTCTCAAGGTGACTCACTGTGGGCTTGCAGTAGACCTCTCGGGGCCCTGGGGCCACTGACCTCATCTCGCTGGGAGAGTAGGTGCCCGGATGTGGCCTTTCAGCTTGGCCACAGCCAGAGATATAACAAGCTCACCTCTTCCCAAGGTGCCTGAGCAAGAATAGTACCAATCTGATGGCAGATGATGAGGTATCTAGCTCTTTGAGGGGGTGTTACAAGGGCAAGTGGTGATTGACCTGCCCTCAGCATGCAGCGGCCTGCTGTTCTTGAGGTGATCAGGAACGTAGCACCAGTTCCTGGAGCGGAGCAGAAACTTCCTCTTCCTGTGTTGTTCTGTCTGTGGGCTCTGAAAGGTAGGTAGGTAGGTATCGATTCACTTAAGAGATGTGTGGACCATAGGACTTTCTCTTCATTGCTGATCTTGGTGAGCTCAAGACATCTAAAATTCTCTAGCAGCACATGAATGCTATTGACAGATGAGGTTGAAATGCAGATGTGCACCATCATCCCGCAAGTCTGGGTAAAGCCATGTGACAGTGAAACCTCAGAACCAGCTGAAGGCTAAGGGGAGCCCCAGAAGTGGCTGGAGCACACTGTCTGTCACTGACCTCTCCCATCTGTGTGCAGGAACAGTTCCTGGTCCCAGACCACACGATCAAAGACATCAGTGGTGCTTCCTTTGCTGGGTTCTATTACATCTGCTTCCAGAAGTCGGCAGCCTCCATAGAGGGCTACTATTACCATAGGAGTTCAGAATGGTAAGACACCCCAGAGGCAAAGGAGATGGCTTGCTGCTGTGCCACCCACCCCCCGCCCAGGCTCTCCCTTCACTTGCCAAATCTAAAAGAAAACCTCTCCACCTGTCTGCATAGTTTTTATGCTCTATCTACATGTGGAGGGCCTGTTTGATCTCAGTTGCTCAAGGAGGGGCTCCTATCCCTAACCACAGATCAGAGTAAATCAGATGAAAACAAAGTGCTCGATAAAGGAACTCACTGCTAAAAAGCTTTCAGGAGGTTCTGTATCATCAGCAGTGTCTCTACCCAACCTTGGCTGCTCTTGTATTTCCTCCCAAATTTAATCAGTAACTACAACGTGAGATCCAACCATGGACACAGGGCGAGTTTTGCTGTTAGCAGCCTTTCCAATTTTGTGGTCACATTCCTTAGATGCCAGCCCCACACGCATTCAGTCTCAGTCTGGTGACCAAGGGGCCCCTGTGGAGCTGGCGGTCCTGCCCTGTGTTCCGTTTGAGGTGAAGGACCGAGTGCCATCCCCTAAGTGCTAGCTTCTGTCACCTTTTTTGGGGACTCTGCTGCCACAGCACTGCTTCTCAAAATAACTTGCTATACCTGAAGAAGGAGCCATATTACCAAATACTTGATTTCCTTTCCAAATGTGGAAACACCGTATTCCCTTCCACATTTTCCACACTTTGGTGATTTGTGAGTGATGCTACCCTGGGTTGACTCCAGTTCCTTGTTCAGTGGCAGCAAAATGCTATCTGCAAACAAATGCCCTTGGGCTCAGCACAGTCTCCACTCCTCTGAGAGCCACAATTATAGGGTTTTCATAATTGCTCTGTTTTCAAATGAGTTTTGAAAACCTGTTCTATCCTCTTTTTAAATAACAGCTTTATCGAGAGAATTCACATACCATATGATCCATTCATGTAAAGCATACAGTTTGGTCGCCTTGAATATTCACAGTTCTGCGACCATCACTGCAATCATTTTTAAAATGCCCCCACCACCACGAGGAGAAACCCTGTGCCTTCCACCCCAACTCCCCATCCCCTCCTAGCCCCAGGCAGCCACTAACTGATGTTCTGTGCAGACATGTTTATTCTGGATATTTTATATAAAGGGAACCACACACTACTAAGCGGCCCTGCGTCTGGCTTCTTGCACTCTGTGTTGCTCTGAGGGTTTAACCATGTTGCAGGATGGATCAGCACTTTGTTTTTATTGCTAAATAAGTTTCTGTGGTATGGATATACACTAGCCCCTCCCTATCCATGGTTTTGCTTTCCGCAGTTTCGGTTATCTGCAGTCAGCCATAGCCCAGAAGCAGATGATCCCTCCTGACAGTGTCAGGAGGTTAGTGGTAGCCTAACACTCGGTCACACACCTACGTCAGTCACCTCACTCCACGTCACGCAGCCAGGTTCCCATCTCACACCCTACAGTGCAGGAAGGTATTTTGAGAGAGAGAGAGAGTGACCACATTCACAGAACGGTTATTATGGCATATTATTATAATTGTTTTATTTTATCATTAATTATTATTAATCTCTTACTGTGCCTTACTTCTAAATTGTACTATTTCATAGGTTTATGTACAGGAAAAAACATACCATATCTAGGGCTCAGTACTATCCACAGTTTTTGGCATTCACTGTGGGTACTTAGATGTATCCCCCATAGATGGGGGGACCACGGTGCCACATTTTATTTATCCCTTTACCAATTGATGGATATAATGTTCTCCCCTTCTGCCTTTTATGACTAATGCTGCTGTGAACATGAGTGTTAGGTGTTTGAGTTTCTGCTTCCACTTCCTCTGGGCCTCTACTCAGGAGTGGAATTGCAGGGTCATATGGTAATTCTGTAACATTTTAAGGACCTACCCAACCGTGTTCCACATTCCTATGAGTGATGCACAAGGGTTCCAGTTTCTCCACATCCTCTCCAAAGCTCGTTATGATGTCTTAATTATAGCTACTTTGGTGGGTATGACGTGGGGGTCTAGTGGCTTTGATTTACGTATTCAGTTGGCTAACACATGATCTTGATTTTTTTTTTTTTTTTTTGTGGTGAAAAAGAAGCTGCTTTTCCCCCTGCTCCTCCTCACTCCCATGTGAAATGAGTAAGGGGAAAGCTAACATTTACCCTGTGAACACTGATTGTCCCTGGAGGTTATCATCCCCGTGTGTGGATTGTCCTGGCCTCTGTTTCTCCTTCATCTGCTTAACTACTCAGAGCACTTATTATAGGGGCAAAAACAAACACCTCAGAACTCTGAAGTTCTGAGTTTAGTGTCATGTCTAGGGAGGTGAGAAGATGATGATGAAGGGAACATAAACTCCGGGGTTAGGTAGGGAGTTATCTTTTCCATGGTGTTTTTTTATTCCATGAGAAGTGGGGTGTGTCTGTGTTACCCATGAAGTCCCTGAGGACATTCCAGCCTGAGGGTCCCTGTCCCGGAGAAGCTGAGGTGCTAGACATTGGAGAGAGGTGGAGGGGGAGGAGGAGGCTTGGGGCTTCGGTCTGCATCTTCTCCCAGAGCTTTCTCGGCCTCTCCTTTCACGGGACGTACCATGCTTACTTCATGGTCAGAACATGAAGCCTGAAAGCTTCATGAAAGCTGCCTGAAAGCAGCTCCTCTTATGCATAGTTCCAGAGGATTAACCAAAGAAATAGAAATAAAACCAGATTTGGTTCAGCCCAAGAGGTCTGCGATGCAGCTGTGTTCCAGTTGAAGCATGTGGCTTACCAGGTGCTCCAGTGACAGGGAGGGCTTTTTAGAACCTCTGTTTGGTTTTCAGGATGCTCAGACTGTCTCCTGTTTCTCTCTCTTCCCGCATTACAGGTATCAGTCACTCAATCTAACTCACGTTCCTGAACACAGCGCACCCATCTATGAATTCCGGTGACAGCGGTTCAGAGCAGGAACCAAATAAAACTGAACTTGGCAAAAAAGAACTTTGCCGAGAAAATTGTGTACCTGCCAGAACCAGGAGAACATGTGTTCCTGTGTCTTCACGAGCAGACTCACATCAGAAAGCATGAATGTTAACCCACAGAATCCAAGGAGCATGGCCAACCAGCAGGGCAGGTGGAGGGAGTGTTCTCTGTTCTTCCTTCCTCTCTGCAGCAGTTTGGTCTTAATCTGTTTTTAAGCTACCTTAAATGCACTTTTCCTTCCTGCACAGCTAACTTCTGTATCACCGAAAGGCCCATTCCTTTCTCCATCCCCACCTCCAACTGAGTAGGTCAGCCCTCCGAGTCACCCTCAGCCTTGGTGCTCAGTGGTCTCTACCCAGGCCCCGGCCCTCTGCACCGCCCTCCCCCACCAAACCCCCACTTGCTTAGTCTGGTAGGTCAAGAAAAAGCAGAGCCCCAGCACATGTGTGCCCCCGCACCGAGCTCTGTGCAGGGAATCCAGGAGCTGCAGCAGCATCCGCCAATGAAATGGGAGGCAGAGGCTGCTTAACGGGGTCACCTGGCGCTGCCCAGCCCTGCAGTGTTCATGTCAAGCTAGTCAGTGGCTGGCAGGTTCCATGGGCCTGCCATCATTGGGGATCACTAAATTTAAGGCTTCCAGATCCCTGGCAGGAACAGGTTCCAATCCTGCTTTACTCAGCACGTTTGCTCCAAACTTTTGAACTTGAGGGCAATACTAAACTTAAAAAAAAAAAAAAAAAAAAAAGAGTTTTTTTATTACAAAATTATTTTTATGGTCCCTTTAACAAGGACCCTATGGCAAATGCACAATTATTCAGAATTACATTTTATCGTTTTCACATTGAAAACAGCAAATGTTGACTTAGTAATTTTTATACCTATATCTATATGTAAATGTATATTTAATCAACCAGCAGTTTAAAACTAGTCATCCTGGTACAAAAGTTTTGCAGCATTGCATAAATTCTAGTGCTAAACTTGAGAGCTGTTTTTGGGGCCAGTTTAGCATTTGTACCTCCTCCTTTTGCTACTCAAAACAGCAGTGCTTCAAGGCGACCTTTTCCATCAAGCAGAAGGGGCCGTCATTCTCCTGAAACAGCAACTCTGAAATGTTGGGGTGGGGGAGGGGTGGGAACACGAACACGCTCGAATAACTCAAGGCGCACGTGCCAAAGTGTGTGTGTGGATGTGTGTGTGGGGGAGTGTGGCTTTTTTTGGGGGGGGAGGTGTTGGGTTTTTTTTTTTTTTTAATGTTTTAAAAAGCTTACTAGATTGGCATCAGTTGTAGTCCACAGATACAGGCAGGGCTTTGGGGTTGGGGGGAGCTCATCGCATTTGCTGGTGGTTTACAAGACTTGCTCAGAATACAGGAGGGAGAGCTATAATGCACAGGAGCAAAACAGGCTGAAAGCTGCATATCCATGTGTGGTCTCAGAAAACATATGGCCCTTTGGTCTAGAAGAGCAGTAGGGAGATGCTGTATTCTTAAAAATTGACTTTCCTTTTGACAACATACGTACTTTACGTTACTGAGACTGAATGTCAGGGAAAGGTTAAAGGAGAAATACTTGGGAACCTAGTCAGTGGGCTCTGGGACACCAAGGAATTGGTGTCCTAAGGCTTTGTACAGAGGTAATACCGACCCATCTAGTGAGGCCGGGCTCTCAGAGCCCCCAAAACATTGTCCTAGTGACAGCAGTGGAAACTTGATTCACATCCATTTGCAGAGATGAGTCAAATGTTTTCTCAATTCTGAAACTCAAGGCATTGGGATGGCTGGCTCTGGTCATGCAAGCCAATGGCACAGTACTGAGGAGACCACACTGGCACAGCCTCTAGTGTAGCTGGCAGACATCATGTGAGTAGAGGAGACAGTGGCTTTCCCGGGCCATCTGACCCATCCATCCATCCCATCCCCCCGCTCCCCCTGCGTCCCCCCAGGTTCCCTTCTCACAGCATGCTCCTACACCTCTGCATTTTGCAAGCTCCTTGAAGGATATAGGCCCCACTGGGAACCTGAGGGGTGAGCTCAGCCCCTGGAGCTCATCAGGGCTCCGTCTGTGTGGCTCTGGAGGTCAGTCGAGAGGGCAGGAAAGGAAATCTGCAAACACTGCTGCTGTTCAGGTAGCCAGAAGGGCCAGGTTCTATCAGAATTTCTTCCTTCTGTTTTTAGCGAGGTAATGAAGTGTACCAGTTGCATTGGGGAAAATAAGTGATATCTTTGCTAGATCTTTTGGGCACCTCCGTGATAAAGATTTGTTTGTATAAAAATCTGCCTGGTTGAAGATAGGAACTTGAAGATAGGGACAGGATTACTTGTCCACCTCCCCTTAGTGATTCCCAAACAGGTAACATCAATCCTTTTCTTTCTCCAAGTCCCCAGAGGAACTTTGGGGATCGTCCCCATCTGGGGGATCTTCTTTCCTGAACCTTCTCAGTGGTTTACACGCCTCTGGCACTATGTGCAATAGTTTGGTGGATGCTTGTATTCATCATTAAGAAATCAGTGCAGGTTGTAGATTTTCTACCGTCTTCCTCCACCCCAAACAAACCGGCCATGAGGTAGGATCCTAGGGATTCGGCTGTGCTTTCCACTGCTCAAAAAGCTTCCATCCTGTGCTCCCAGCCTTGTCCCTCTTCTGTGCTGGAATCCTCCCTTCCCACCTGCCCATCCTTAGCAGTCCACAAGTAAGCAATGCCTAATACAAAGTAGAAAGTCCATCTGTGTGCTGGTTCTGTTGGTAACGTGGAAATCACAAACTCCAGGGGAGCAAAGGGGCTTTTCAATGTCTTTTGCTTTCAGAAACAGGGAATTTATATTCTAAGGCCTTGAATTGATTTTTTTTCCTCATAAAATAGTCTGATAAGCTAATTTTTAAAAAGAAATGCCATTAAGTATGTTGCATTGTGGTTTAAAATTACTAACAAGTTCTGGGAAAGAAAACTTTGATTTTGAATCTTACGTGTTTTTAAAAATTAGGTTTGAATGGGCACAAAGTATGAATATTTTGTTTCTTTAGGGAGGACATGTGGAAAGGGTTTGAGGGTTTGGGATGGGAGAAGTATTTTGCAGAGCTATCAATGTCCAAATAATTTTTAAAAAATAATAAAGGTATTTAAGCAGTGACTTTGTCCTATTTCTAAATGAAAACCATTCTGTGAGAAGAGAGCATGGTGTCAGCCACTCAGCACTGACGTCTGAGCTCCATTTTGCTAATTTCTACATTTCTTTAAAAATGTGGAAGGTTTTTCCCCCATTTTTTATTTTTGCATGTGTACGGGATTTATACTTTTAGTTAACACACAGAAAATCCACAAACAGAGCTGTCTGCTCCCGGCTTCTCAGGTTTGGTGCCGGCGCAGGCAGTATAGATGGGGCCTGGTCCTCAGAGGAGATGCCTGAACCCCAAAGCACTCGGGCTCCCGAACAACACGATGTCCTGAAGCCAGCTGTTGGTGCCAAGTCCAGGCCTTTGACTTCCCTGCATGCATCCTGTGGCCGAGGGCCTTAGCCCAGCCCAGAATGCCTGGTTCTGATTTTGACAAACCACCCTGCCTGGTGTGCTAGAACACCTTGGCTCTCTTGCTGTCGTGTGACGTTTCTGGTACCACCTCCCTAAGCAGGGCCAAGGAGCACAGCCAGAAATACCATGTGAATTTTCGAGAAACTTTACAGTGCCGAAAAGCTTTAACGTTAAGCGAGTCGAAAGGCTAAGGGAACATAACATCCATGTCGGGGCAATGTTCCCCTTGTGTATAAAGTATCTCTGAGCTCCTGTTGTTTGAACAACAATAATAAACTTTCTCCCGAGGACGAGGACGTGTGAAGAAAGGCATAGGCTGTTCAGAAGGCTGAACTTCTATAGTTGAAGATCCCATTCACTGGTGGTTTTGTAGGGGGAGAAAGCTGTGGGATGCCTGGGCTCTCACTCCCAAAACTATGTTTAAGTCCTCATGGGACCTTCCACGCACCAGCCAAATGCTCTGCGCCTGGAGAGTGGGAGGAACAATCTTTACACAGGTCAGAGAGTGGAGGGTTCTAGGAGGTGTTCCTGAAGAACTTTCAAAACTATAGCAATGCCCCACACGTGTAACAGGTCATTTTTGCCACATAATCCTCCCACTATATTTGCTGAGGCTTGCCATGTACAGCGTGCCATTCTGAATATTGGGACAGAAACACATGATGCTCCCAGGCCTCAAGGAACTAATGGTCTGGAATAGAGTGGGAATTGGCATTCTGATCCCCACAGTTGGCAAGACCCTCTTTCGTATCTCACTGTTAGAGCCTCACTTGTAAACCTTAGTTGGCTTTGCTTTTAAGCCATCCAAGGAAACAGTGGAAAATGCATGGATTGTGTTAAGCGTGAAATCCACTGCAGGACAGGACAAAGGGGAAATTATAAATATCAATGCTGTCTGCATCGATCTCAACTGCACCTGAGGAGGAAAGCATTAAAACTCACTGTGACAAAGAAAAGTACCTGAAAATTGGATTGCAATTGAGCAGCTTTTTCTTCTAGATTTTTCTTCCAAACATGTAAAGATTGAAATGCCCTATTTGCACATAGCAAGCAAAACATTTATAGGCTTTTCATTTATAGAGAAGCTTAGGCTGAAATTCAAGTTCATTTTGCCATGGTTTCTTGCCCTGATTTTTCAGCTTGCTTCATCATTCACTGCATTGGTCAATAAATAACCCCCTCCCCTCCACGCTTTCTGGAACTGGCCCTGACTGGGAGCAGTGTTTCTCAAACCTGTTTGCACAGGGGTGCCTGGGGGGCTCAGTTAAGTGTCTGCCTTCAGCTCAGGTCATGATCCCAGCGTCCTGGGATTGAGCCCCAAGTCGGGCTCCCCGCTCAGCAGTGGGGGTCTGCTTCTCCTTCTGTCCCTCCCCTCCCCGTTCATGTTCTGGCACACTCTGCTCTCTCTTTGTCCCTCTCAAAAAAAGTAAATAGCCTTTAAACAAACAACTGATTGACATTAGCATCACTCAATTCACTTAAAATCCTTTTGTCCAGCAGAACCCCTGACCTGTTCTGTCACGACTTCCTGAGCACCTTCACGTTCCCAGGTGATTCCAGTGTGCAGGTTGAGTGTGCCACAGAAATGAGAGAAAGGCTTTAAGGCTTTCAACCTTGTGATGTCAATTTTCTGAATGTGGTTCCCCTCTGTGTGGAGGCAACACAGGTAAATAATGTCACAACATTTTTTTTTTAAATCCATGAGAACCACAGAGAGAGAGGCAGAGGCAGAGGGATAGGCAGGCTCCATGCAGGGAGCCCAATGTGGGACTCGATTCCGGGTCTCCAGGATCCTGCCCTGGGCTGAAGGCAGCGCTAAACCACTGAGCCACCCAGGCTGCCCACGTCACATTTGAATAGCAAATACCAGCCTGTCATGTGCGCGTGGACAGAGCCAGTGAAGATTTCACTCCATCTAGAACCTCAAGCACTGGAAAAATAAAGAGAAGGGGTGACGATATCATTTCTTATGTCCGTCCTCATCTTCATCAGGGCTTTCATTCATTGGCAAACACTGCTGACCACCACTTACTTGGTGTAACCGCCACTCTGCGTGCCTGGGATGCATCCTTGCACAATAAATTCCAAGGATGGCCTGTGTTCTTGGGGGGAGAGATACATAACAATCGCATAATAAAGAGCTCATATAATGTCAGATATGATATTAAATTCCAGCCTTACAGGAAAGGAAAAAGCAGAGCCAGGAAGGACTGGGAGTGCCCGCTGGGGGAAAGAATGTGGGCTGCAATTGTTAAAAAATATGGTCAGGTTGGGCCCCACTGAGCAGGTGACATTTGAGCAAAGGCCTGCGGGGCAGGGGCGATAAGCCAAGCAGATGTATAAGGATGAATGTTCCAGGCAGAAGGAACAGCCCAAGCAGAAGTCTCAAGGGAGTGAGCCAGCTGTACTAGAGAATCAACAAGTAGCTGAGTAGGAGGAGATGAGGGCAGAGGTGACAAGAGCATGGCCATGGCGGGGGGGTATGTAGGTGAGTCAGCCCCTGTGGGACCTCATGGATCGTTGTCATGATAAGGATTTTGGCTTTTTCTTAGGAGTCGCTGGAGGATGTGAGCAGAGGAGGGACATGATCCGGCTTAGGTTTTAAAAAGGATTTTGCAGACTGGTGGGCAGACTGAAGGGGCAAAGGTGCAAGCAGAGAC